TAATGCATGAAATGAAAATTGAACGAAATACAATGAGAGTGATTGATAAATGATAATTTGATATGATAAGATGATAATAAAATATCAGTGAAATGTGTCAAATAATTGTTGACATTTTTCATTAATTTGAAGTTAAGAGAATACAAATATATTGAATTGAATTCAGTAGAATTTGATCACTTTCAATTAAATCTTTTTTCTCTCTTTTTTTTTTCTAATAACTAAAAAAAAAAAAAACTTTTTTAAACAGAAAAAAAAAATTAATCCTAAAGTTTTTACTTTTGTACAAAATTATTTGCAACTATTTTTTTGCTACATAAAATATTTGATGCTTATAGAATATTTTCTCAACCAAATAATTTTTGTATATTTTCTTTGAAAAGTTTTTTTCTTAATGATAGGAAGAAAAAAAAAATAGATAAATAAGCAAACAAATTGAAAAGTAATAACAAATAAAAATTATTGCATTTAAATTTAAAATTTGATTAATTCAATTTAGCCTAAATTTATTGTCTAAAAAAAAATCGAATAAAAATGCCAGATTTCCCAGTGATTATTTTCAAATTTCTTTTTTCTCTTTCCTAAAATTATTTTTTCAAATTTTAACAATTTTAATCAAATCAAATAATTTATTTATTCCAACATTATATTTTGTGATTTGTATGCGATGTTTTTTTTTTTTATCATTTAATACTAAAAAAAAATTTTTTTTTTAAATTTTTAATCGGCATCATTTAGACAAAAAAAATTAAAAAAATAAAACAAAATATGGAAATCTTTCAGATGCATATTATTTCTATTTGCTAATTTTATTTCTGACAATAATAATTTGTCCTATAATTTTTTTAAGGTTTTGAAATAACAAAAATTTATAGTCTAATAAAAGACTGCAATTGATGCATTTTTTATTCTTTTTATTAAAATAAAATCTAAGCAATGCAATTTATTACCAATAAATATATGTTTGAATGAGGATTATAACAAAATTTTCCATTTTGAATAGTATGAAATACAATTATAATGAAATCACAATCGCAGTAATTTCAACGATAATAATAGTAGCAGTGATAATGATGATAACAATAATAATAATAAATAATCACAATAATGGTAATAAATGATCACAATAATAATAATAATAATAATAATAATAATAATAAATAATCACAATAATGGTAATAAATGATCACAATGATAATAATAATAATAATAATAAATAATCACAATGACAATAATAATGATCAGTAATCACAACACTATTAATGATAATTATAACAAATAGTAATGGACAAAAAGACAAAATTAGGAGAAAAGAGAGAAACAAAAAATTTCAAATTAATTTCATTAAAGTGATTCCAAAAATTTCTTTTCGTTTTCTTTAAAACGAAAAGAAAAAAAAAAAATATTTAGTTTTGAGCATAAAAAAAAAATTTTCGCACAATTCCAGCATTTCAGTATATGCTTTGATAGCATTTTCCTTACTATTTTATCAATTTTTAAAAACGAATAATATCATAAAAATAAATGTTTTTATTTAGAAAATAACAAAAGTTTGCTCACTTTTTATTTTTTAAACTTTTTATTGCTATTATTATTGTCTCTATTATTTATTATTATTTGTTATTTATTATTATTATTATTATTATTATTACCGCTATTGTTATTATTATTTCTACTATTATTTGTATTATTATTGCTGAAATAAAGTTTTGTTAAAATAGAACATAAATTAAATATTGTCACGAGTTGTACTATCTGTTTATGCTTAATATTATTTATACCATTAGTTATAGTTGAAAATTATGTCCACAAAACAGTATTTGTCATATTTGTTGAGCGGAATTCATATAATCAAATGATAAAAAGCTGAAAGCTTTTCAGTTTTAGTTTTTTTTTTTTTTTTTTCTTTTTTCAAACTATTTTTAAATATACATAAACATGCAAAGAAATATTAAAATACTATATATTTATGGTACTTAATTAATAATTATTATCGCTTTACACAAAATTATATATTTCTCACATAATTCCACTTTTCTGTTTCCTTTTTTTCTTCTTTCATTTTTGTAAAAGTATTTTTTAAAAATGATAAAGCAAACATAATGCTTTATTTAATATCATAATTAAAATTACACTCACTTCGTTTCTTTTCAATTTTCTATGAAATCATTTCTTCATCATTTATTGCTCTATTTATTAATGATCAAACATTTTTCTTTCCTTTTTTTTTTTTTTTTTTTTTTTTTTGTGAATTTTGTTCCGATGAATTTTTAAAAGAAAATATAATCCCTAAAAGAGATAAATTTATTTCAGATATATACAACTATATCATCAGCCTAATTTTTTTGTTCAATACAAAAGTTGAAAAATTAAAGGTTAGTGAATAAGTATAATTGGCATTACTTCACGAACATTTATAAACAATTACTATTAAAAATAAATTTTAGTTCAACTAATTTTTCAAATTTGTTTGAGAAAAAATGATTTCATATGAAGGGCTGCGTAATTTTGAACTTTTAAGTGTACTTTACGTGGGTTACGTGATAGAACTAGTGGAAAGTGGTAGATTGTTGTACTTAAAAAAATTATTAATCATCAGCTTGTTTTGTTTATTTAAACGTTTTATTTTTTTTTTTTTTTTTTTTTTTACAAGTGACGTACGTATGATATTATTGAAATTTAAACAACAAGAATATCATTAATTAATGAAAATAACTGTGGTAAATGTAACTTCTCAAAATATCTCAAATGTATTCGTTAATTTTAATAAATTAATTTACTGTGCTAACAATGATTGTAATTACAGTCAATAATTGTTCGATCAATAATTGCTTAATCAATAAATTATAAAATATTTCAATCAGTATTGTTTTACAATTGTTATATGAAAAATTCTCTGTCGTAATACTTTCAAATAGGAATCATAACGATTTAATTATAAAGCTGGTTTCCTACTATAACTACTATCACTCATTCCTCACTGCCATGTAAGAATTAATTTCCTGATTTTTTAAAATTTCATCATACATTTTGTTGTTTTCAACAAAAACATACACACAGACACACACACACACACACACACACACACACAACACAAACATACATACATTCATACACATATACACACACAGACACATATAACATTTCACATTTTGACAATCAATTTTTTCCCTAACTGGCAGTTCTGGTTGACAATTTGTTTTTTTTTTTTTGTTCTTTCCATTTCCTAAATTTTTCATATTTTTTTTTCAATTTTTAAATTCATTTCAATAAATTTAATAATTTTTATTAAAGATAATATGTACACTAATTTATAATTTCATTCATTTTACCTGCTTATTTTTAACAATTAAACGAATAATATTCGTCAAGAATTTCAAGCTAGCATTTTTGCATTAAACAATTAATGACAAATAATGTTAGTTAATTTGATGTTAATAAAAAATTTGAAAAATAATGTTAATAATTAATGGTAATGAATGATAATAATGATAATTATTGTTAGTGGAAAATTATTGTTAATTAACATTGACAATTGATTATCTTTCACCATTATTAATGTTTTTTCTTTTTTTTTTCTTTGCATTAACAATACATTATAGCTAGTATTTGTGGAAAGAATATTATTAGTATTTGGTATTCATAATTGTTTGATTATTTTTCACCAATTATTTGTAATAATAATGAAAGAAATTGTAATATATTTGCATAAGCATGAAGTTATTTATTTAAAGTTTGTTTATTTATTGCAAAAAGGAAAACGATACTTCCTGTTTGTTTAATTTATGCACACATACACATACATTAGACAGTTTAAGACAAGAAAGGCGAAATATCATTACTTTTTTAATAATAATACTTATTATTTGCTATTAATTGAGTAAATTAATTGAACTATTAAAAATATTAATTAATAATAGAATCCCAGTTTAATATAGCTTTTAAAAATTCTAATCATATGGTAAAATTTTATATGTTAAAATTAAACCAACGTATCAAAATTGGACAAATTTCTTCTTCTTTGAAAAGAGTTGCTTATTAATTAGTGACTAATGATAATCAATGATAATTTTGATGCATTGCTTTTATCAGTCAGAAAATGAAGAATAGCAATTGAAATAGAATTAAATTTTGTTCTTTTGTATTCGAAATGATTCATTTGGATGTGATTGTTTATAGAATAGCTATTTAGGCATATGTTTTTTTTTTTTGAATATTGATGATAAAATGAACTTTAGAATAAATAAATGTGTATTAATAGTGTTATTCATATGATATCACTTATTATCACTAATCAAAGACTATCAATTACTGTCAACAATCGTTTATTTTCAGTCGTTATCAGTCCTATAAATTGAACATCATTATTACATTATTATTATTTATTACCGAATGACAATCGTACAAATGATTGTTATCAATGATTATCATTTTCTTTCGATTAAAAAAATAAACATATATAACTTAAAATACTTTACATTTGTTATACGCATATTATTAAGATAAATTAATTAACGTTGTAGTATTGAATGCCTAATTTTCTAGAATACGTAAATACATATTACAACATAAATACATATTTTGACCTATTTTTACTTAATAAAATGGTAAAGTGTTATGATGATTGTTAATAAAGTGGTAAAATGCTATGACGATTGCAATTAAATTTACATTTTAGTATCTATAAATGTTACTATCCAAAATTTTGTCATGTAATAGTAGTCATAACCTAAATAAGATAAAGATGAGTATTAAATCATTTTATTATTTGTTTGATTTCGTCTTAAAAATTTTTAAATTCATTTATTTATTTTTCATCAAATTTTTGTTATTTTTATTTTTTTGTTTTTCTATTATCATTGTGATAATATACTATTGTATTATTTCATTAACGATTAATAGTATTTTAAAGTTATATCATTTTTGAAATAATATAACTGACGTATTCATTTCGTTATAAAAAAATTTTTTTTGTGTAGTTTTCAGATTTGGAATGTATAATGATTGGCAGCGACAGTATGATTATTGGAAAATATTTCTTGTTGACACTGGTGCTACAGCTTGATTACACCATACGACACTGTTGGGCTACAGCTGAAGGAACTTTCGATCTGAGCATTGAATTACCCTTTATGGCTACTGCATTTGTTCAAACAGGAAATGAATTACATTATTTTTCGGATATCGAATATCATGATTCATTTGCTAATAGTGCACCTTTAAAAAGGTATTCTTTTCTTCTTTCTGTTTCATTATTGAATAATTTACTTCTAAGAGCACTTTTTTTTTTTTTTTTTTATTTCGAATGAATTGAATTAAAGATTGAATGCTAAATGTATGCACTTGCATAACATGGTGAAATGAATAATATGGAGAAATGATTTTTAGTCTTGGAATTAATCCGTCACATTTACTAAAATTATAAACCTAGAATCTTTATGATTTTCATTAATTATATCCTTTTGTAGTCGTATGAATCATTTCAAAGTTCATATTTCAGGTTTAATTTCTTTCCATATCTTTATCATTATTTATTGATGAAAATTTTGCAGCAGTGATCAGAATGCGGCAATGCTTAATAATCAATTACAATTCACTCCCAATGAATTACAATTTGATGAACAGTAAGTTTTCTTTTCGAATGAATTCACTGATAACCGAATAAAAAGTGATTGGATGATCAGCAGCGATAATTTCTGTTAAGGTCAATCAGACATTCAAACATTTTGAAGTTTTTGAATTTTCAAAAATTTTGGTTTTTTCAAATTAGCAACTTTGTTATTTTTTTTTTTGTAACATATAAATCTTAGGTCATTGGGTGTGGCAAGACAGCAGGAAGTTCGGGTACACAATCCAACTGCTTCAACTGTTCGTTTTGATGCGATTTCTGGTTCCACCGTCCATTTTCATTGCTCATTTCCGGAACATAAGGTGAAATTTCCGACTATTATTCCCAAATTAAAAAACACTGAAATTAGTGTAGATGGAATTTTTTTTTTGTTTTATTGTAGCGTAGAATTGTAATTGATGTGCAGAAAGAATATAGAAAATTTTTAAAGCATTATTACTTGAATTACTTGAGTCTTTTGCAGTTTTTATTTTTTGCAAAAAAAAAGTGAATTTTTTTTAATTTTGCCGAAAAAAACATTTTTGAAACACATCCATTTCTTTCAGACTGTGAATCCTGGTGAGTCCACTACTTTCAGCGTAGTTTTTTTACCCCGGCAGGAAGGTTTAATTGAAAATATCCTCATTGTGCATTCATCACTCGGATCATTCACTTATTCGGTATCTTTTCCTTTGTATAACTGTTCAATAATAATATAATTATTCACTAACAACTTTTGTTTTTTTTTATTTGAAAAGCTTAATTCTTGATAGACTTTTGCTTTTATGTAATATATCTTATTTATATAACTATCATCTCATCTCATTAATCAGTTTCTTTTCAAAAAAATTTAGCGATAAGTTTTTTTTTTTCTTTTTTTTGTTCATTTATGACTGAAGCATTGTCAATTTATTGAATAATTCTAAAATTTTCCAATATAGGTCAAAGGTAAAGGCAAAGGAAGTGCTTATCGAATACGGCCGTTAGTTGGTGTTAAAATACCTGTTAACGGAACACTTATATCACCAGTGCAGTTACACAATCCACATCCAACAAGGTTACGCGTTACCGAAATATACAGCAGTGATGGTGATTTACATTTGGAACTTCCAGACATTGCTCCTGAAACTCATCATCCAGTTTCATTATGGGTATGATGTAGCTTTTTCGTTCTTATAAATCATTACGTATATCCAACAATACGTAAAATAGCAAACTTAGTTTTAAAGTAAAACTCATGAGCTGACCATTAAGCACAGTTTTAGTTTGTTGGTAAGTTGTGCTCATTAATCTAAACTTGAGTATGATGAGTTCAATTCCTTAAATGCTTTTTTTGAGTTATATGTTACAGTTTAATTAAACTATAATATATTTTTTGGACATTTTGCCAAACTTTAGTTCCAGTTTGTTTGAAAATTGTATTTTCTATTTGATCAGTTTTAATAAAAAAAATGGAAATTTGATGAGTTTCTGGTGCAAACGAAAACTTTGCATATTTCTATTTTATTAAGTTTTTGTTTACGAAGACCTGAAAAACCATGTGTTACATCGTAGTACTAAATTATTTTCTCTACTTCATAACTTGATTTATTTTTCCAGATATTATTAGGTTGAGACCCTAAATTTTATAAATTTGCTTTAAAGTAGAAAAAATATTTGCTATATAAAGCAGTATTATTCTTTATATAATTTTTTTCTCAGAGTTGATAAAAGTCATTTTTTAGGATATTGCTCCATATGAAACGAAGACTGTAATGAATGCGAAACTACTTGGAGCACGGGAACGGAATTCTAGTGCGTATATAAGAATCAAAACTAATCGAAAGAGACGTAAAGTGATCGACAAATCGTCATCAAAGATATCATTACAAACGAATTTTGACGTGGAACACGTTGAAGATACACTTATTATTCCTATAGAGGTAAATACTTCGCAGAAATGTTAGTCTACGCCAAGAAGAATCGATTTTTTGTTTTTGTTTTTGTTCGAAGATATTTAAACATAGTAATTTTTGAGTACGATATGATTTAGTACAAAATAATATGACGTATAAAAAGATTTTTTTAGGTAGAAATTACGAAGAAACGTGGATTGTATGCTACGGTAGATTTGTTAGATTTTGGTTTAATTCGATCCGGTGATAAATCTTCTGAATTAATGCTGGAAATCGTTTCTACACTCGAAAAAGGCATCGAAATTGAGGTATTTTTTTTTGTGGATATCATTGATGATTTCAATTGACTCTAATTGCCCGAAAAAAACTAGCCTGTTTATTTTACGTCTGGAGTTTCTAATTGTTTGCCAGCTTATAATGAATGAAGCATTTTTGAGATTGACTGAGGAGTGTTTTATCTTAAGTAACATTCTGTAAAAGATTTTTTTTTTTTTTTTTTCAATGCTTTTTTTGTCATGATCTGCTGCTTAAGCGAAAATAAGTCCAGAGGAGCTGCTTTTTCATTTATTTGAAATAACTTCTTACTCAAAAAGCAGTTGAGTTTGCTGCATAAATATTCCTTGCTACAAGCCTCACTACTTTTTGAATGGTATTTTGCTTTTCATTCGGATTTTCACTTTAAGAGTCTTTATTTGGAAGGCAATGAAAAACCCAGCGGTATTTATATGGAATTCGCTTCGAAGCCACCAATTTCCGTGAAATGTGGAGCAAGGCAGCAACCTGGTATGTTTTTTTTTTTTTTTTTGTTTTTCACTTACATTATGATTTTGTGAATTCTCATCGTTGTATCTGTAGTATCTCTTAGTGAAAACTAGCAATGTTATTTATCAAACTGGACAGTTAAACTGAGTGATTTTCGAACAATTTGATCTGTTCGAATAATTTAATAAATATTACATCTATTTAGAAATTATGAATGGTTTGAATTTTCACATTTATAGGCGCATCAAAAGCAATAGCAAAAATTATATTCGACACAAAATTATTGCGTAACAATGAAGAAGGACCAAAGTTGGTTCGTTATAAAGGAAGAATTGTAGCTGAAAGTCGCGGTGGTACCTATAATATTACCATACCATATACAGCACAGGTTTATTACGGGTAAATTCATCGATATCGTAAAAATTTTTTGTTCTGTATTGGAAAATTTTCAAATTTTAGTTGATGTTCTAGTCATTCCTGTTATATATTTCAATTCCAGTTCAATAAGACCGAAAGTGGAAGAAACGGCTTTTCATAGTCTTCTAAAGCCTCCTGTCACACGGAGTATTTCATTAACCAACGATTTACCATTTGGAGTTGCTGTATGGAAAATAACTTTAGATAGAGAAGCACAGAGATTTTTTAAAGTAATTGTTTAACTAATTGATAAATGTTTTCATTGCTATTTTTTATTCAGAAGACTTTTTTAAACTGTTTCCAATTCGGCTGTAGTATAATGTGAAATTTTATTGCATTAAACAATCGAAACTTATCGTGATAATCAAAATATTCACTTCTATATTTTTTAAAAATTTACCTATTAGCATTTTTTAATTTTTTGGTCGGATTTCGGTATCTTAACTTTTTTTAATATTAAAACTTCTTTAACAAAATGAATTGTTAAAAAAAAAAACTGCTTTTTTTAGGCAAAGTTAATTTCAAATGTAATAACTATGGCTGCCGGCGAGACAAAATCCGTCATTTATTTGCAGTACATAAGAAAGGAAAAAGATGGATTCGCAACATTTTTTAATGTCTATACCAATGTTACGACATTTCAAATACCACTTGTTATATTCAGTGGGAAATTGAAGGTGAAAATTTCCAAATTTTCTAAATTAATTTAAATAACGATGGTGATGGGTTTAAAACACTACGATGTGAATAAATATTCAGAAATGCTTGAATTCTTATGTTTTTTGTTTCATGTGTCGAAGTATGTCTTTCATGCTGAAACTCATTTTCCATTTCGATATGTTAGAAAGCAGTAAAAATTTTTTTTATTGTTTAAATAATTCTCTTTTTTCTAAAATATCTTTTTTTAGACTTTTTTTTCTTCATTTTAATATTTTTTATATTGTTTTTTGTATATTGTTTGCTTAGTTTAGATAGTTTTGCACTCATCGCATCAGAAGGAATTCAATTTCGGTTTGATTGATGCTGGTGATAGCCGTTCAATCCAGGTGATTGTTTTTTTTTTTTTTTTTTTTTTTTTTTTTTTACATTTCAAAAGTAATAATTTGTTGCTGGATTAACGATTAGGAAAGAAAAAATTTGCTGTGAAGAATTTTTTTTTTGTTTTGTAAATGCAGTATATAGCAAAGACGAGGACGAGAAAAAGCGAAAGGCTTAAAATCGCTATACTATTACAGTTTTCCATAATAAACGAAAATCCGGTAACCATTACTGTGAAGAATTTAAAGAGAGCATTACCATCAATAACGACATTGTCATTATTGAGTATACAAACTGGACAAAGCTTAAGCTCAAATTTGACAGATCTTAAGAAATCAAAATTGTCAGAAGTTTATCGAGAGGTTTGTATATTTCAAAGATTAATTTTTACTTTAATTTAGTTGTTGCTTGTGTATTAGCAGTGCTTTAACAAAAAACGTCCAACTGAGCCATAAAAAAATAAAATGAAATTTATATGGTGTGCAATGTCAAAAAGCCTGTAAATCGTTATGTTCATATGATATTTAGAGACAAATATCAGTGAAATTTATAGGTAAACTTGGGTAGAGAATTTCACTTCAAGTTCTTTTTCTTAATTATTGATGCACTATTTCTTCGTTTTTAAGGGTGAAGATTTTCGATTATTTGGTTCTAGTTTTGCGGTCTTCAGATATACTTTGAGAGCTCCAAATGATCGTGCCATTTTGTTTGATGAATTTATCATTGAAACTGATTTTGAATATTCGTAAGTTTCCTTTTTTATCAAGCAAATGATTTTAATAAGTTTTTCTTTTCTTTATAATAATTTGAGGAAATATAGACTGTTTCTGGCTTTGTTTCTTTTCTAATAGTGGTTTAATTTAAAAATTATGTTAAACTACATTAACTTTTTGTTTATAAGGCAGTATATTAGTATTCATTATTTACGTCATCCAATTTAGCATTTTTGCTCTTTTCCAGTTCATTCCCGGTGAATTATTCAGTTGGTCAAGGTACAGTAGTAGCTGTACCCGAAGAGCTCATTTTTCCTGATGCATTTCCTGGACGTATTAGCTCACATTCATTAAAGGTAATTGTAAGAGATCAATATTCATTTTTGCATCGTTTTAATTTTTTCGTCTCATTAACAAAAAAATAATATAGCTTTATTAATCTTGTTATATTAAAGGCGAATTTATTCAGAACAATTCATTTTGTCAGCATTTGAAAACTTTCATTCATAGCTGATTTCATTTAAATGCTACTATACTATTCGCATAGAAAATGTTTTTAACTTTATAATAACCTTACATTAGAATTTTTAAGCTCTCGGAAGCATATATATGTTACAAAGTTTGAAATTCAAAAGCAAGCAATTTTCTAAGCTCATGATAAATATTTCAGGTATTTAGTACCTTTAAGGAAGATATGCGTGTTTTGCGAATATCATCATTATTTGGTAGCCGAAAAATATTTTTTGAGGCGGCAAATCCAGAAAGTACTCCCGTTATCAAAACTAAAGCACTTTCTGATCTCGGCCGTGTGCATGTCATGCCAAGTGTCAATTGTACAGACGATTGTTATGTCGGTATCGCTTTTTTGTTTTAATCGTTGCATTAAAAATGCTAAAAATAAATTTATTGTTTAATCTAATTAAGCTGCAAGGAAAATTTAGATCTGTTGATTCATCGAATAGATCAACATAATAGAATAGATGGGTTTTGCTCGAATGAATAAAGTATTATCAAAAAGAAATTGATTAAAATAGTATATAAAATGCTGTTGAAATAAACATTTTCCTTTACTCAGGTATGCCTCTGCACACGGCCGATGGACAGTGGTTTACATATGGCGTGAAATTACCGCAGAATTTGGCTGAAATCGACTACTATCTTTACAGCAGGTTCGAGTTTGTATTCGTGTAAATATAACTTGTTTCATAATATTAGTGGTTATAATTCCAAAATTCTGAATTTCATTTCCAGATTACGACGAAAATTTTTTGCGCTGCAAGCTGAAGGCAAAAATTACATAAATGAAACTATCATTATTGATACCGATAAGGTAGAACACTTAATTAATCTAATTTTCTTATTTGTATATAATTGAAAATAATGTTTTTGTTGAGATTTTGACTTCAGTTTTACTCTTGGTTTCTTATATATTTCGGAATTTCAGGTTAAGCATTTGGAAGTGCCGCTGACCTCAAAGCTTGTTTGGCCAAAACTTTTAACTCGCACCGCTGTTCATTTTCCTTTAACGGCTGTGGGAAATTTTACCGTTAGTTTCAAGTGATTTTAAAATTAAGTTTTTAAACTGATTACTTATCTTCCTTTACTATGGTTAAAAAATTTCAACTTTCGATCTTCATGTTTTTTTTATCATGTTCTTTGATCCTTAATTTATTTCAGATAGTGAACTTAACCTTAACAAATCCATCGTCGCTACCGGTTGCTGTGCAGTTATTACCACTGGTCATTTATCCTGATGCTGATACGCTAATTGATTTTTTCCGGAGTGAGCTGGATTCACCACTTACAGAACCAATTGAAATGAATGAAACATTAATGTTTTCTTTACGAGATACAGAACTATTCACTTTAAAACCTGATAGTCCAGTACCGAAATTAAGGGAAGAATTGGAAGACATTCTTGGAATACCGGTTCCAAAGTAAGTGTTTCACTACTCTATACTCTATACAACATCGCTTCAACCATTTGTTCAAAAATATAAGTTTTATTCAGGATTTCTATTCAGAATAGTTCTTTTTCAGATTTACCTTATCAATGTTGCTACAGCCAGGTATGAAAGTACGTGTTCGTGTTGGATTCTTACCTTCTGATTATATTCTTCGTTCATCGCTACTTCTGATTCGGTATCGTTTTTATGAGATTCTCGAAACTAGTCTTTTGAAACTTGTGGATACTTTTTTTTTTTTTTTTTTATTACGATTATAATGTTAATAACTTTGCAATAATTTGACGTTACATTTCGATAATTATGTCGTGGTGAGATGTTTGTGCACCTAAGTGACATATTAGTTTAAAGAAATCTTTTCACTTCATTCTTCATTTTGTAATGAAATTGAATTTAAGCAATAACTTAACGGTTCTGGAACCAGTTGTATTATATGGCCGTGGAGCTCGTATGGATATGCAAGTAGAAGGTCGTGCTGCAAGAACTCGCGATCCATTAACTTTTGAAATACAGCCGCGTCATCTTTCAGATTGTCACAATCCAAAACGTTTGCTTTCTTCATAATTTATCATTTACTTCCGACGTTTCTGACTTCCAATTTAAATTTTATTCCATCTTCTACATGACTTGATGTTTTCTGATGCTTTAAATTAAGTGGCAGTTATCTCACCTCTAGTTTTTTTTTAATTTTCTTAATGCTACTTTTCAGGTTTAACGCATAAATTTTTCACGACACTCACTGTAAAACGTTCCTTTACCGTCATGAATACTGGTGAAGTAGTATTTACAGTCGTCAATATGAGTATTAATAATGTTCCTTGTGAAAATCGTGGCTTTCATATCCTGAACTGTCATCCATTTCGGCTTAAACCGAATGAAACACACATTTTAGATATCGCGTTAGTTTTTTTTTCTGAATTATCTATTTGATATAATTTTTGCAAGCATAGCAACTGTTCTGATTTTTCAAGTTTATTGAGGTTGTTTTAAAACGAATGGAAAAATTAGTTATGTATGGTTGAAAAATTAGAAGGATTGAAAGTATGGGTTATGATTTCAGATATACACCTGATTTTTTGATGTCATGGAATGAAGCTGCGTTGCAATTTTATATGCATATGAACGGGACATCATGGCTGTTCCCAATGGGTGCATCCATACCACGACATATGCTAGCTAAATGTCATGCAGCTTTACCACGACCACCTTTTGAAAGTTTCATGTACTATTCCTGTATATCTGCTTTAATGTGAGCTTTCTTTAAAAAAAAACATAAATGAAATAAGCAAATAAGGCAATCATAAGGATTCAATCTTAGTCAAAAATGTCTCAGTGAATATTTTAACATTAGCTTTGGATAGTTCATCCATTATATATTTCCTAAATAGCCTATAAGCTATCAGATTTGACTTCTTTTTAATACCTAAGACAGTTTCATTAATTTATATAAAGTTGCCTTCTAGATATATAACTTCAAATTTATTCCGAAGTTTACAAAATAATTTCTAATTTCAGATTATGCCTTATATGTACTATTGCTTGTGCATATTTGGAAGGTGATAGAACGGTTCTGTGTGGTATAAGACAACAATTTGGTCACATACGACGGGTAGATATGAACACCAATGATATGCGACGCACTCGTGATAGAGGACTCTTTTCTCTGTGTATTCTTTTTTGTTTTGTTTGTTATAACGTTATTAACATTGAATTAAATATTTTGATAGTATTAATTCTCATTTTTCGTTTAAATACATTATCACTGCAATCTGTGGAAAGTACTACGAAATTTTATTAGTTATGAATTGAGCGTTTTTAAACACAATAATTGAGACAGTGTAAAAGGATCTCATTAGATGGAAAGATAACATTTAGTTTTTTGTATTTGTTTATTTTATTTTTTTTTTTTTGTTTTACGCATTTCTTTTCGAGATTCTTTTTTCAGCAAGATTGAAACCATCACCACCTCGTCGATATGTTTTGCATTATTCCGAAGATTCTAATTTGTTGATACGTTCATTCTGGCAAACAGCAAACAGTGTTTTATGGTTATTTTCATTCGTATGGCAATTCCGTGGTGATTATGTAAGTTCTTTTTCTTTGTTCAAATTATTTTTTTAGATTATTAAAAGTGCTTTGCATCATCTATTATTAGTAGGCATCATCTATTATTAGTAATAATTTATAATCCTGAATGAATTCCTTTTTGTAATTTGTAAACATTTCCAAAATATATATCATTGTTGTTTTTGTATTCCGCAAATATGTAAGATTAATTATTTCATTGTTATATTTTCTATACTGCTATATTTAATATCATATTGCTAAGAGTATACCGCATGTTAATTAAATTCGTTGAAATTGCATAAGTAATGAATTTATTCCAAAAATCATTATTATTCACACTTCTTTAATTACAATTACTTGTTGTTTATCATCAAAGCAACATTTCTGGATTTCTCATCTTCGTAACAAAATTCTGTGATTTCTTATCTTCAGAAGTTTCTGTTTCAGACACGCGTGACAGTAAAACCGACAAGAACACGTCAAAAGAAAGCATTGGTCAAATGTCATGCTGATCCGACCTATTCTACTAAAAGTGTATCTTTAGATAACAATAAATCAGCATCGACACGATCTGATTCGTGCAGTACAACAACTAGCGGGTCCAGTTCAATAGGGAAGCGATATGGCTGCAAAACGTATGATGCAAAATATATATATATATTTTTTAGAATTCATTATTAGCACTATATTATCAAAAAAGCATTTTTTGTAAATAATGAACTCTACTTATTCCTGATCGAGAATTCTATCAAATCCTAAAATTGTGATTAGAGCTATTTAGAAATTGTGGATTATATGCATTTGGTATAGAAAAATAAATTCCATATAGTATTCTGGTTTAATTTTTGGTCATATTTCATAATGGTTGAAATTTTTACAAAAATATTGTTATAGTTCTGGTCTTTTACCATATTCAGTTGGACACACAATGCCTAATAGTAATTCTCCGAAGAATGTATCGGTTAATGGAGTGTGCAAATCTACAAAGGAAAAAGTAATGAGCTTTGATGTTGTTCAAAAGAAGAAACTGATTTTTTTTTATCCGCTAAAATTTTGAGTTAACCATATTTTAAATTAGATTTCAGTAAATATTCGCAGATTGTTTTTTTAGATAAATGCAGAAAAGGCATCATTTCTAAAAGCGAAAGAAACAAAAGAAAATCGTTCAGGTAAAAATATTGTTTGAAAATAGTTATGGATCCAGTTTTAGTTCATAGTTTTGATGTTGACCTACATATATTTTCGCTATTAAATGCTTTTCATAGTCAATTTTCATTTTTAAAAGTGAATAAGGTCATTTCAGATAATCTTAGCTTCTGGATTATTTCTGAGCTTAGATATATATCATTGAAGAATACAATGGATTCTTGAGCAATCTTGCTGATTTAAGCTTTTTTACTTAATAGTAATACGTTTTTTTGGAGGTGTTTCGTAAAATAGGGTTCGAAGAAAATAACTGAAAATTCTAAACTGTTGCAGCATAGCAATAATGAATTAATTTAAGATTCAAGTAGATTACGACCTAAAACTGTTGTGGATGCTGCTGTTTCGTTGCCTTCAAGCACCCCTAACGGTTGTGTGAAAGATACAGGTTTAGTCCCTAATGAAAATCGAAATTCACGGGATACTAAAAAACCGGAGAAGTCGCACAGTGTTGCTACTGTTCAGACTGAGGATGTCAGCGTGATTAGTTACGACTGGCTTTCGGTAAATCGTGAGAAAGCTGTTGATGAAAGGTTGGAATTTAAACAAAAAGTCAAAAATTTAATGAAAAAAAGAGTAAATCCCTTTCGATCCAAATTTATTCCACATGCATTTGGACTACATGAAAGAGATGTAGTGTTAATGCTAGGCATATTTTAGTATGTCATAAGTGGAATTAGAGGTATTTAAGTTTAGTTTTTGTAGACTGTAAAAACTTTTTAAATTCAATTCTTTTCTTTTTATCGTATTTCAAGATCTTTAGATCAGAAGCAGGATTGAGTGACACAAGCGCTCCGCCAGAGTGGGTGGACGGTCCTGCTATAACAAATGGTAAGCTTTGTTGATTTGTAAGATTTTGTCATAGTTCAAGAAATGAAACGTAACATATTTCCTCAGCTAGTGGCATTATCCAGGAAATTCATCCTCCATCAAATTATTTGAAAATTCTTCGTTTCATTTTTGTTCCTAATTTTTAATTATAACCAAGTTTCACAGCCAAGGTTTATCTGTCAGTAAAGTTTTATTTTTTAGATGGAAATATTGACGATGACTTTAAAGCATTAGCCGATGCTGCTGAACGTTTATTCTTGTCGGAAAAAAAAGTACCTGCAGAACGGTTTTCAGTATCTCCACCATCATCCGTGAATACATTACATCAAATTCAGTTAGAACAAAGAAAGGATCAGCAAAGAAAACAAGAAAATTTTTCTAGAAATGGTAGATTTTTGATTAAAGAATATCTGATCTAAGAATTGATTAGCACTCTGTTTTTTTTTTTTTTTAAAAAAAAAAAAAATTGAATATGAAATTGATAATTCAGAATCTGAAACATTTGAAATAGATAGAAAGAATATTCTACTAGTAAAATACCAAAGTAATTTTCAAGCATTCTATTATAGAGGTTTTGGGTCCAGTTGGTTCTCAACGAAATGATAGCAGGCAAAGTGGTAATCGGCCAAGTGCGTTTATCGAGCAATTACAGAGAGAACGAAAACTAGCTGAGAATCAGTATTTGAGAAATAAATGGTTAAAGGGTTCGTTTCATACATTTATTTTAAAACATTTTTAAAACATGAATTATACATTGGATCTGTTATAGTTTAACTGTTTTTGATTAGTCTAATTTTTGATTTTTGTTCAATACTTATTTGTTTAAAGTTTTGATTTTCATAAACAGTTAGTCAACCAAGATAAGATTTTTCCAAAATTTGGAATTAATACAAGGAAAATTTTGTATAATCAATCAAATGAACACAATGATTAGTATGTGATTGACTTGTCATTTTTATAATTTTTCATTGATAAGTAACAACATTGTTGATAATCTGCAGTATAAAAAGTATATTACTTGAAATTTTCAAAGTATATAAAATATATTACTTTAAAAACAATTTATAATTTGGAAAATTGAGAATAAAAAATTTACATTTTTCAGAGCAAAAAGATGAAATTTGGCCAGGTTTTAACCTTAGACTTCCTACACTATCGGAAACTTTCTGCGATCGTGATTATGATAAGCAGGGAAAGAATGAAAGTGTTTGGAAGGTTCCATCGATTTCTACCAATAATAATTGGTCACCACCAGCAAGAAATGATTTTGCCCAGCAACCGCCAACTTCAAATGATGCATGCAATTATCTTGCAGAATCAGTTCGTGCGTTTAGGCTTAATCCAGAAGCTCCACCATTTGTTATCGAAAATTCATCTCATTCTCATCCTCCATCAACAAACTTAACAACAGGTTGTTAAATATTTAAATTCAGTTAATACTTCCAATTCGTGATCATCAAAGTTTCTTTTATCGTGAATAGCCCGTTTTTATGTTTTATTTCAAAAAACAGTTCCTTTTAACTGCTGAAAATCTTAATTTAGTTTCTTGCATGTCTTTTTTTTTTTTTTTTTTTTTTTTCAGTACCAGTTTTTCCATCGCGTCATCCAACAGCATCATGTCAACAAACAAGATCGGATCACAGAATGCATGATCACAATACTTTTATTGATGATCCACTAGGATTATCTGGAAGTCTTTTTGGTGGTGGTTCGGCGAACATTTGGGCCAGTGATCCACGTTCAACATCCGAAATAATATCTGGGGATAATAGATCCGAGATTGATCCGAATTCTGTCTTTTGGGCTAAGATGTTTGCAGCTGATGATAAGAGAGAGAAGTACTCATAATTGTATTGGAATTGCAAACAGATGATATAAAAAGAATGAATTTATGTTGAAAAGCGTTGCTCACAATATAAATAAAAAAAAAACCTTATCTATAGGATTTATCAATATTTTATTTACACTAATATTATACTACTTTGATGTTGCCAAAACACAGAATCACAACAAAACAGCTATTCTATTCATTTTCGTTCAGTATTTTGAAATTATTTTATGCTGGTATTGAATGGGTATTTTATATCTTCGGTTTTCATTCGTTACTACATTCATTACAACTAAACAGTTTCGCAAATTTTCAGATTAAAATGCGAAACAATTGATTTTATCTATATGAACATTTTACAGAAAAAAAAAAAAAAAAAAACAATGAAATCAATTGATTTTAAAAATAATGATGCCCAAATTTGAATTAATAATTAATCTTTAAGAATTATTATTATCCAATGCTAACTGCCACTTTAATACTATGGTGACGAGTTAATATTCATTCGGTTTATTAATGTAAATATGAAAATGGTAGCAATTTGTTGCTTTTCTTGAAATTTTTCACTCTTGGAAAGCAATAAAAGGTAATAGGGACGGAATCAACGTGAACTGATAACTAGCAAATGTAATCAAACGTGAACTGATAACTAGCAAAGTAATCAAACGTGAATTGATAACTAGCAAAGTAATCAAACGTGAATTGATAACTAGCAAAGTAATCAAACGTGAATTGATAACTAGCAAATGTAATCAAACGTGAACTGATAACTAGCAAAGTAATCAAACGTGAACTGATAACTAGCAAAGTAATCAAACGTGAATTGATAACTAGCAAATGTAATCAAACGTGAATTGATAACTAGCAAAGTAATCAAACGTGAATTGATAACTAGCAAAGTAATCAAACGTGAATTGATAACTAGCAAATGTAATCAAACGTGAACTGATAACTAGCAAATGTAATCAAACGTGAATTGATAACTAGCAAATGTAATCAAACGTGAATTGATAACTAGCAAATGTAATCAAACGTGAATTGATAACTAGCAAAGTAATCAAACGTGAATTGATAACTAGCAATGTAATCGAACGTGAATTGATAACTAGCAAATGTAATCAAACGTGAATTGATAACTAGCAAAGTAATCAAACGTGAATTGATAACTAGCAAAGTAATCAAACGTGAATTGATAACTAGCAAATGATGATAGCAAACAATATAATGGAATATAATCAAAGGAATACTTAAAATATGGGATAAATTATCAATGCAAATTATTTCATTTCTAATTAGTATTATTACGAGAGCTTTCATTATCTTTTCTATCATTTTTTTTAGTGAAAAATTTTTAAATATTCCTATAAATTTCTGAAAGTTTTATCAATATTTGCTACAAGTATAATATATTATCTAAGATAAAATCTTCAATGTTTTCGTTTTTAACATAATTTTTAATCAATTATAATTCCTTCATTAATGCTATTTATTACTGAGAAATTAGCATTAATATATTTAAAAATTTTTAAAATATGTTTTATATATCAAATGTTTTTACAAAATGTTCAGCATTATAGGTTTTATTATTATTAAAGAAATTAAAATCTCTGATTGAATTTTTTCTGAACTTCAATTGAATTTTAAATATTACAATTGGATTTTAGATTTACATTATTTTAGTTTGTCTATGAAGTTAGAAAAAAAAAGAAATAATAATAGATTTTATGATTAATTTATCCGGTACGATATTTCATTATGTAATTTTTTTATTTCTTTTCCGTTTCTTAATCCTGTTATTTTCAATTTGCGAATTAGGTCGGTGCACTTCTATTTTACACTTCTAAAAAAAAAAAATTAATTAAGTTAAAATCTATGATTTCGAAGTGAACATCTTCAAATTGCTAATATTTTAATAATTTATTAAAATTTTGGCATATTTTAAGTCTTACGATAGATTAGCAAAAGAAAACTTGAAAAATAACTTCATGAAGCAATAAAAAATTTGTGCTTACATAGTATAATATAAAACTGAAAGTAATGTAGAAATAATAATTCGAACTAAAATCATTTTATTAGTGGAAATGATTGTATTAGAAGATGAAAGTATTTTTTTCTCATTTATTTATTTTGTTAAAAGTAAAGAAGAAATTATACTATTATGTACGTACGATAGTATTATTTAAAAAATAGTATGCAAAAAAACTAAAAATATTATTTCAAATTAAAAAAAAAAAAAAAAAAATATTGTTTACTAAATCTTTTGCAACATGCAACACAGCAGCAGAATTGCGCATAAAATAATTTGGTGCCGAAAAAATTGTTATTAAATGATTTCCAAATTTTTCATAACCATTTTGCATCACCTAAGAATAGTAAGAAGATGAAGTTAATTTGATTAAATTAAAAATTAATGCAGTGAAATTGTCTTTAGCAAAGCATTCAAAAATTCATATTTTATCCTTGGATATTCCTCTTTCTCTATCATTTTTAAATTAACTTTTAAACGAAATAAATTAAACAAATAAATCAAATCGAATAAATAAGTTGATCAATTAATTAATTAATAGCAGTAACAATAATAATAAATAATAATGACAATAGCCAATAATAATAAATATAATAATAATAAATAATACAAATAATAATAACAAATAATAATGACAATAAATAATAATAATAATAAATACTAAAAATAATAATAACAAAAATAATATATAATACTAACAAATAATAATAGTAAATAATAATAATAAACAACATAAATAATAATAACAAATAATAATAATTATTAATGATAATAAATAATATCAATAATAAATAATAATAACAATAAATAATATAAATAAGAATAGTAAATAATAATAATAATAATAATAATAATAATAACTAATAATAAAAACAATAATGAATAATAATAAAAATAACGATAAATAATAAATAATAACAACAATAAAGTTGCGAAGAGTTTCAAAAATCTTAGAATGTTTGTTTGTTTATTTCATTAAAAATAAACAAACATTAATGTTTACCTGATGTGCTCGTACTATCATATCTAAGCGAAGCGTTTTACAAAATTCTTTAACAGCATTAATGCTAAATAATCGTGCAACTCCTCGTCTATTATTATAATCATAATTAGTTGCATAATAACTTGGATCAGACCATGTCAAATCGGTTAATATCCCTAAATCCGGAATTTCACATGGTCGTTCAATACGTTCCAGCTGAAAATTTTCAGAAAATGGTAACATTTTTTACAAATTATTATTAAAATGAAACAAAAATTTGAATAAGATTCAATTTTTCAAATTGAACAAATTGAATAGTGAATAAAGTAACAAATTAAAACTTTCTAAAATATGATTTTAACAATTTTAATACTAATATAATTCATCTGAATTACTGTAATCGCTCTAAATACACTTTTTTTTTTTTTTTAAATCGAATGAAAATTGTAAACATACAATTGTGATACAAACAATTTTCTATTTTTTATTTTTTTTTTTTATTGTTTTTTCATTAATATAACAAAGTGTTAAAAATTTTTTTTCTCTGATAAATTTGTCTTTTACCTGTGCAAATTCCGTCAAATCTTCACTTATTCCGCCATGCATGCATAAAATTCGCTTGCGTATTCGCGCACAAAATGGCATGCAAAAAAATGCCATTTGAAATGTGTCAAATAATTTATTCGAATATATGAAATAGAATTATATAAGAACGAAATGGAAATGAAAGATAAAAATAAAAATGAATAGAATAAAATGCAGCAAATTGAAAGATAATAAGTAATGAATGCATGAAGTATAACAATGTAACTGATAATAAACTGATAATGATAACAAAGATAATAACAACGGATGATAAAAATATAATAAAAATAGTAGTAGACAGCAGTAGTAATGATGATAGTAACACTAATAATTAATAATAATGATATTAATAATAATGATAATAATAATAATAATAATAATAATAATAATAATAATAATAATAATAATAATAATAATAATAATAATAATAATAATAATAAAGGGGAAAGAATAAAAGAAACGGAAAATATTCACCAAAGGATGACGGATAAAGAGTAAAATAAAAAGTAATAAATGATAAATTAAATAAATAATAAACAGACAAAAAGCAACGAACAATTTTACTAAAAATTTCTTTGCTAATAGTAATTTTTTTTTCTAGATAAAATAATTTGTTATTTATAATAATCATAACTGTATTACAGCAATAAGGAAATAAAGGTAGCAGTGATCATAATTTATCACAGTGATAACATATCATTACAATATATGAATAATGATAATATGAAAATAATTGTATGATTTTTAGATGGATTAGAATCCAAATGACAACTGTTAATAATAAATGAATAATATAAACAATTTTATAATATTTTTCAGAAATTAAAATTTTGCTCTAATATTAAAGTTATATGGAAGATATTGAAAATATGAAATAAAAATTTTATAAAACCTTAATACACATTCGTCATAGAATCCGTATCTAAGATTAACGTAACGTGATTCATGATTTCCACGTAAAAGGTATATGTCACGTGGATAAAGTATCTTCAAAATAAAAAAAATAAAAAAAAGAAAATATGATTATATTTTTTGATGATAATAAACTATTCAAAATGGTATAAATCATATTTTTTTGTGCTGTAAAAAAAATTTTATTATATTAATTAATTGTTGCAAAAAATTAATTAAACATTCAATATAGTATTTTATAATAATTTTTTTTTTTTACTTTTCAACAAAGAAATCAAAATAATTGAATAATTTGTTAAATTTTCAAAATGAAACAATATTAAATTATAAATTTTTCATTGTTTTTCAAATTAAGATGGAAAAAAAATTTTTCTGAAAAGAATTTTTTATTTTTCTTTATTTGAATAATTTACCTTATAAGCAAATAAAAGTGTTACAACTTCAATAGAAAATGGACCACGATCAACATAATCACCAAGAAAAAGATATTGTCGATTAGGTGGAAAACCATACAAATTAAAAAGTGCTAATAAATCTTTAAATTGTCCATGAATATCACCACAAATTGTTATTGGTGATTTAAGCTGAAAGATTTTAAAATAATTCAACTTTTTCACTTTGTCACAGTTGTGATTATTTTTTGTATTTCAATTTTAAATTGAATTATTTTAAAAAATTTAATTTTAATAAATTAATTTTGAAAAAAAAAAAAACATTAATTTTATTATTTATCCTTTTTTATACTTTTTATCCTTTTTTTTCCTACTTTTTTTTTTTTTTTGAAATATTTTACAGATAGATTTAATAATTTAGAAAAATGATTTCCTGCTTTATATGAATTTATTTATTTTTTTAAAATCTATGTATTATTTTTCTCATACATTTTGCTCCAACTATCATTTTTAATTATGTTTGAGTAAATTAATTAATCATATGCTAAAATTTTGAAAATCACTTTCAACATTTTATCATTACATACGAGTAGTAATATATTTTGATTAAATTATTGAAACAAAAAATTTAATAGCATTAATAGTATTATTTCATATTTGAATAAAAATTAATAAGTAAGAAATTTAAATATATCCAAAATAAACAAACAAACGATGAAAATTTTACTTCTAGCAAAGTAGGTTGCATCCAAAATACTTCTCTGGCTCGATAGCATAATTCGATTAATTCATTTTCAGTAAATAATGATTGACATAATTTTGGCTGCCATTTCTTGGTAAGGCGTATTATCACCGAAATAAGCCATTTTTTCACCTATGTTAGCTGATATATTCATTTTAAAATTTAGCAAAATTTATATTAAATTATTAATTTGTTATTAAACTAAAAAATTTTTGCACTTATAATTAATTTAATTGTTTTTCATTATTTAGATAAATGCATTGAGTATTCTTTAAAAATATTTAGTACATACATAATCATATATATATTAAAAAATAGATTTAATATATAATTTATAGATTTAATACATAATTTTTAAAAAAAAATTTAATGCAAAATCAGATATATATATTAAAAAATAGATTTAATACATAATTTTTAAAAAAAATTAATAAAAAATTAAATAAATATATATTAAAAAATAGATTTAACACATAATTTTTTAAAAAAAATTTAATACAAAATCAGAATATTTGAAAGAAAAAAAAAAAAACTTTTACTAACTCTAATAGATTGTGATTATTACAATTTTAAATGTTAATGCTATAGTATGAATTGTTCAACTTCGAAATATATTGTGTATTAAAGAAAGAACTCAGTAGCATGGTCTTCTTTTTTTTCAAGTATTTAGGTAATATATTGAGTATTTTAGAACGAATAATGATTAAATTTAATTTTTGTCACTTTTTCTTTCTAATTCTTAAAAAAAAAATTTAATTCTCAATTCTAAATTTAATTTAATATGTAAAATAATTGGGTACATCAAACTATTTACCATCAATGATCTCTTTTGCATATTGCAAAAGTATATATATATACATATATATTAATGAAAATTTGAAATTCTTAAAAAAAAAATTCGCAAAAGATATTACTTTTACTTTATTGCATCTAATTGATGTATCAAATTCATTTGTTTCTAATGGCAATTTTTCCAAAGATTTTTTTGATAATTCGTTGTTATCAGTGATATTTTCAACAATTTCAAACTCTGATGCAGTATCATTCATTTTTTGTTCTATGCACCTTCAAAAATATCTTTTCATACCTTTTTCACTTCATCTTTTTTAATTTGTTAAGATTTTTTGAAAAGTAATAAGTTTTTAAAATTTTAAGAAATGAAAAAAAAATTTGCATATACATATTTTGATATTATATATATATATATATAAATTAAGTTAAAAACAAAATAGCAAAATGAATAAATGACATATATATGGAAAATATTTGATACAAACAATCATTATGTAAAAAAAAAAAAATTAAAGTCAATAATCAAATTTTCATCTTTTTTTCTTTTTTTTTTCTTCATTTTCGTTTGTTTTCAATTTTTTCCTAATATCTCGAATATTTTGAATAAAATATATTTTAAATATTTAATATCAAATTAATTTTGTAGCCGTAATTGATTTGAATAAAACAACTCAATTGATTATTTTTTTATACCAGTAGAATAATTTAAACACTAGAAAAAAATTTTTTTTAATGAATTTAAATAATATCATTTCAATACAAAAAAAGTTATTAATTTCTATTTATGAATAAAGTATAATCATTTAATTCAAACTGAAAATTTTATCACACATCTTTATTGAAATATAAAACTAAACACATATATATGTATATATATATATAATTGTTTTTCAATTAAGTTATTTGATATAGTATTAAAAGAATACTTAATTACATCAATATAATTAGCAAAAAAAAAAAGTAAAATAATTTGGAAGAAATTTGAAATTCTTCTAAATCAATTTACTAATTGCCTGAAATGAAAAAATCAACCGAACACTTTCAACCAATTCATTTGTTATTGCTAATTTATAAATTCAAAATTACAATTTATATTTATGAATTTTTTAATTTCACTTTCAAATTTGTTCATTTTTTTTCTTCTCAATTTATTTCTATTTCTCTCAATCATATGCAATATTTTCTTTTTTTTTTTTTTTAAAACAATTTCCCTACTTTCATATTTTCTCATCATTTTCTTGTTTCTTAATGGGTATTTTTATATCTACGGTTTTTTTTTTTTTTTAATTAGTCAAAATTTGATGATGATAATTAAGATTAAAAGGTTTGTGAATGGTTGATGCAGCAAATTTTGTTGTCATTTATTATTCATTTTATAAATTACCTTTTATCATTTTCCATTTTTTTTTGTCACCATCGCACAGTTTATTAACAATTATCATCATCGATCAATATTCAAGGTTATAGTTAAAGGTCAAAAAGGTTTAATGGAAGGTCATTTTAATTTAATAGTGAAAATTGTTGTGCTTGTGATCGCCTAATTTGAAGGTGTTAAATTTTTTTATAATCTTTGAATTGTTAAATTTTATTGCTATTATCAATAATTCATACATTTCTAAAAGTATAATAGTTGAAAGTACATTTCAGTCTTCTTAATTAACATTTCTTAATTATCGATGTTAATTTTGATAATTGTTATAAAATTACAATAATTTGTTAAATGCTATATTAATCTCTGATTTCATTTTTGATTACATTTGTTGCATTTTAATATTGATAGACTACTACCACTACTACTACTAATAATAATATTAGAATGTTAGAGGTACAATTCGATATAATTATGTTATCTGTTTATTTCAATAAGTATGAATCAATAAAACAAACAAATAAATATTTTTCATGAAAATTCAATAATTCAATAAAACATACAATTAGTATCAAAATGGAATAATAAATGCCTAAGCTAATAATGTTTACAAGCTATGGCTTAGTTTAGCTTTCTTTCTTTCTTTTTATGATTAAATTTAAAAATTGAAATTAATATAATTCATTTATAGCCTACATATTCTATTATTTTTCAAACAAGAAAAAAAAAAAAAAAGAAAAAAGAGGAAAGAGAAAAATCCAATTTAAATGGATTTTAAACGAAAAGCTATCTCATTTATTGACAGTGGCCGTATAATATATTATCCCCCAACAAATGACGTGGTTTGTTTCTTTTTCCCTCAATTCAATTAAATTGTAGTTTTTAAATTTTCTCTTATTTTATCTTTATCGAGTTTTATTTTATTGATTTATTTTCAATATACTAAATAATTCCTTCTTTATGCTTCATTATTTTTTGATTATATCTTTGGGATATAATAGCAACTTTTTTGTTTTTTTATTGTTGTATTATTTGTTGTTTATTGCGCTCCATTTTTATCTTTTTATTAGTCTAATAAATGTTTTTATGCTTTCATGAATGTATTTTTTGAGATGGTGAAAATTGTGCATAAAATTAATGAAGAAAAAGAAATGAAATCAAAGTGATAAATTAGGTATAATTAGAAAATTGAAATTTTCAAAAAATGAATGATTACTGTCTCTGATTAATATCTCGAAATTAGTAAGTATGCTTTGAAAAGAGTTCAAGTTATGTGTAAATAATTGAAGAAATCCTAAAATATGGGAGATAGAATCGTGCTAATGGCTCATCTACAAAATAACCATATTAAGCTGTAATTGGATTGCTATACTATTAGTAATATTCCTATTATTATTACTACTATCGTTATTATTATTATTGTTGTTATTATTATTGTTGGGTTTTATATTTCTATAGTTATTATTTTTAGATCATTATCCATTGTATTCGACAGTTTCGAAACAAATTTGCTGCTAATTGCAGCTTTAGGTTATGGAGTTTGTATTCTATGTGGAGCATTTGGATATTTAGTCTACTTACAGTTTCTGCAAGTCATTTTGTTTTTGTTTTAAACAAGAAAATTTTATTCACCAACTTAATTTGATGTAAGATTTAAATCAACATATTAAATGTAAAGTAATCTTTTGTTTTTACATTATTTATCCTCAAAAATTCCTTAACGCTTCATATTTTGCAAATGAAATTGCCGTGTGAAATGTATAGATAAAATCGAAAGATTTTCAAGTTTTATATTTTTTGAAAATTGCTTTCTTTTGTACAGATATCTACATATATTTTTTAGTTATCAGCTCACGATGATGTATACTGCCGTTCGCTTGACATTCGGAACAGTCCGAATATGGCATTTCAAGACAAGGAAACGAATGAAAAATGGTCAACTTTGGCTAATTGTACGGTAATGGAGGGTGATTTCTCGGTTTCAATGATTACAAGCTCAAATTTTACCCATGAAAATTTTCCAGTCTTTAAGCGCTTACGCGTCATTACAGGACATCTGTTGATATTCCAAGTGAGGTTAGTATACTTTCTTTTTCTTCATTGTTAGTTATTTTTACAATATCATTTATCATAGAGAGATTACTAATTAAATTGATTCTCTAATTAAATTGATTTTAATTGTAAACTAGGAATATTTCAGTGCTCTTCGATCGTTAAAACGACTATTTCCTAATTTACGTATTATTGGTGGACAAGAATTAATCATGAATTATGCATTGGTGATATATCAGAATACACATTTAGTTGAAATTGGCTTACCAAAGCTAACAACAATTATTAATGGTGGTGTGCGAATTATGGATAACACACAACTCTGTTACAGTCGATATATTGATTGGAGTCAAATACTCATCGGACCAGCTAATGATATTTTGACTGATCAAAACAAAGGATCCGACTCTGGTAAAAACGATAAAATTTTCCTCTCTGTATAAATTAATAAATGATATTAAAAGAAAAAATAAAATAAAATAAATTTTCAGATCTGTGTAGCGATGATTGCGTTCCACAGAATGAACATCGTTGTCATAAACGTGACCATATGTTGTCCTGTTGGGATGCTGAAACATGCCAGCTTGGTAAGGTTTTTTTTTTTTTTTTTATTCCCGCGCAAAAATTTGTTATACCCGTTATAACATAAATTGTAAGAGGTTACATTTAGAAAATCTAAAAATTTTTTTTTTGCATGTAAAAGATTGAAAGTTAAAAGTTCAAACGACCAAATAAAATTTGCAGACTTCAAATAAGTTTAATCATAATTTTCAGAAGCTTTTCATTTCTCGTTTAGTTATTTACTATTTCAGAATGCAAATACGCATGGAATGATGACAAAACGGTCGGACCAGGTTGTGACGATGATGGCGAAAGATGTCATGATCAGTGTTTGGGTGGATGCTCAGCACCTGATGATCCCAGTGCTTGTCATTTTTGCAAAAATGTCGTTTACCAAGGTATATGTATGGATAAATGTCCAATTGGTTTGTATGAAATACATCACATCTATCTTGTAAGGTGAGTGCTTTTTCAAAGTTTAATGATTTTTAAAGAAATTTTATGAATGAAAATTTTGTTTAAATGATTTTGTTTTTTTTTTTTTTTTTTTTTTGCAATATATTTTTCTTTCAAGCAAAATTTCTCGCGAATAGTTTTTATTTGAACAGGGGTTTGTTTATAGCATTTAAGTTTGAAAAAAATTTGAAGCGTTATATTAACATTCATGTCAGTTATGATCAATCTAAAAGAAAATTTTCTTTGTTCTAGGAGATGTGTAACGATTGAAGAATGTCGAAATATATCAGCACCAGTAACAATGGAAAGTACCAAGAAACGAATGCTAATCGTTGAAAATATGTGTCGTGTTGATTGTCCATTTGGGCAGGAAATTGGTGTGTTGCATTACAGTTTTAATTATAAGAGGGAAATTAATTTTAATGAAAAAGAAAAATATTTTCTAATTATTCAAGTAGATTCGGATATAGTTTTTTTTTTTTTTTTTTATTGCAGACCCGACCACTTCATCAGGTTGTATTAAATGTGAAGGCTATTGTCCAGTGAAATGCAAAGGTGGTACCATTGATTCTTTCGCACGCATCAACGATTATTTGTTCAAAAAGTGCAATGTTATCGAAGGTTATCTGGAAATCGAATTAAGGTTTACTGATTAGAATTTTGTTTTTTCAAACTTTGGTATAGACCAATTCTTGCTATGAGAATTATTGTTCTCTTAAGTTATTTGTATAATAGTAAATAATTATTTGAAGTTTTCGATAATAATTAGTTTTTCACAAATAAAATGAAATCAGTTGGAAGTAACCGCTTTTTGTAATCAAATCCTTTTGGAAATTGGCTTTAACAGCCAGCTGATAACTGACAATAGATAAAATGACTTCATTTTTCTCTTTTTATGTTTATCTTTCGTGCGAATTTGGATGAAAGATCCTGATGAATTTAATCAAGAATACAATCTATTTGTGACTGAAGCTTTTTATATAACCCTCATTCGCTACTTCAGGAAAGGTTTGGATGCAGCTGGGATGGAAAAAATTGGTGAAGCATTGGGTTATATTGAAGTTATCGAAGGCTATCTGTTGATTGATTTCAGCATATCATTTATCTCCTTACACATGTTTAAACGATTACGATTAATTAAAGGGAGCATACTTTACAGAGATCGGTACATTGTAAAATCATTTTCAGTTGGAAATATGACAGATTTTTTACTTAATTTAGGACTTATTTACATTAAATAAGTAAATTAGTATGAAATTGGACGCAAAATTGTGTCCAACTTGAATTTAATTAATTTATCACCAACTGATCAGGGTAACATTGACTATTGGGTTTGTATAACATATTTTTTTTTTTGGATGACTTAAAGCATCAAGGATATTTTGTCCTTGAAAAAAGCACAAAATTTTTCCGTTCCATAAGCTTAGTGAAATTTTGCATTTCAAATTTCTTAAATATACTCTACAATGGCTTTAGAAAATGCATATTTTAAAGATATGCGCTTGCAATTTTTGAAAATGCCAATTTACGGCAAATATTTGATATCGAAAAACAGCCTTTGGTCATCGGGAATGGTACAGTGTTGTTCCAAAATAATCGAATGTTATGCTATAATCGTATAAAAGCACTAATCGATCATACAGGCCTTACTGATGTGAAAGAGAATGATGTATCATATTATAGCAATGGTGATCGGGCAGTATGTAAGTGTTGATGTTTAAAAATTAATCCTTAACTTTTCGTTTCTTTGTTGTTTCATTTCTAAGTTTCAGACAGATTTTCGAATTCTCAGTTTTCCATTGCGAAGGTTTTTTTTTTTTTTTTTAAATGAATTTTGGTTTAATATGGTTTTAAAATTAATGGCGGATTTTAGGTGACGAAACAACTTTTGAGGTTCAAACTGAAGATGTTCATAGTTTTGGTTTTATGATCTCATGGGTTGCTTTTAATACAACCGATATGGATCATCGAAAATTTTTAGGCTATCAGGTATTACGCTTGTAAAATTTTTGCAGTATTGATAGCAGTAGCATGCTTATTCTATTTTAATTGTGGAACTACAATAGAATTTAATTCTATCTTGGTAGTTTTAATCAATGACATCGACTAACTTTGGTGATAAGTTGCTAACCTTACTTTCATTTTAACACATTATGTCTATAATTATAAACCACTGAATTTTTGTACCACTTCATTAAGTAGGGCAAATGGGCAACGTTTGGATGTATTTGCAACTAATAAAATATGCAAAAGAAAAACTTTACTAAGATTTAAAAATTAGGTTTGTAGTGGAAAAAATCGCTGGGTTTTCAATCTGTTTTTTTTTATTGGTTTATAATACATTTAAATTTTAGAATAACAAGTTTTGCTTCAAAATCAAGTAACCTTCGATTTTTATTTTGCATTTTCAAGGTATTTTATAAAAAAGTGGATGGTCCAGATCCATCATTGAGCATTGATGACGATCGCTCAGCTTGTAGTGATTCATGGCAAATGCATTTCGAACCAGAAAAAGGAAACGGTAATGAGGGTTTGAATCGAGGAGCTGGTATTTTTGCTGTTGAATCTAATACATGGTACGTTAATTTACCTGTTTTTGTTCGTGCTAATTGTTACTAATTAATGACTGCAATTCTTTTTTGATTTTTATAAATTTGCCGGGAGTTTTCAATTAGCATGATTATACATTAGTTTTCTAAATATGCTCCAGATATATTTAAACTTCCGTGTTGCAGGATGATGATTGTTTATTTCTAGATGAATATGGATGTGATTTTTAGGTACGCATATTATGTTCAAACGAAACTTATTAACCATCCTGGTGCACGAAATGCAATCTCTAAGATTCATTTTTTAAAGACACTCTTCTCTACTCCAGATCCACCAAAGGATGTCGTTGGCAAATCCCTCATTATGAAGCCTGACCAAATTGAGTGAGCTTTTTCAAAAAAAAAGTTTTTATTTAGCATAAGGTCTTTGCATAAGCTCATAGCATTTTAATTTTAATAAATTATTTGTTTTAGTTTAACCAGAAGAAAACTTTATTGCACTATATTTCTGATTGATCATTTTTTACAGTTTGGCTTGGGAACCACCAGAACGTCCAAATGGTGATATTACGCATTACATTGTCAAATGGCAAGTATTAGGTGATGACCCATCGACGGTATCAGGAAACGTTTGTGATGATAAAACTGGTAAGTTCTGAAAATGTAAACATCGAAGCATCTTTTAAAAATGTAAACAATGATTCAAAGAAATCTGATATAATAATGTAAATAATGCGGAAAAAAAGAAATGAGATAGAACAATCGACATGTATGCAAAAATAGATGTTTTGCTTTTGGAGCTTTTTTGATTAATGCTGAAATTTACTATATCTACACAATGTGCATAATTGCTTATTTTCCTGTATATTTATTCAAGGTGCAGGATTAAGACATCATAAGGATATAAATGATCGATTCACACATGCACCTGCACAACAATCTTGCTCAAAAGCAGGATGTTGCGACTGTCGATTGCTAAAGGTAGTTGTTATCAGTGATTTATGTTATATGATTATCTTAATCAAATTATTTCATCAATTTGATGATCATCGAGCAATTTCTTTCTTTTTAGCAGCGACAACAATCAAAACCAAATAATATATATCTGGAAGATGAAAGAGCTAACGAAGCTGATTTTGAAAATGCCGTTCAAAATCTAGTTTTTGTGCAACAGTATGTCTTTTCGTTTAATGAAGTTCAAAACTTCAAAGTAGCTTTCAATAAAATTTTATTGCTTGATTTGATGAATTTTGGAATCTGTAACAATTTGTATTCATTGCATGTTATAATAGGATACTTAGGCGTGAAATTTTTTATTGAATTGAAGTTTTTTTTTTTTTTTTTTCCCCTGAAATTACTAAGAAAGCAGTATGGTAATTGGAGATATTACTGCACTAGGACTTAATTACTGTTTACAATTCTAAGCTGCTAACTTATCTAGAGATTCGAAAAGAAGTATGATTGAGAAATCGCAAATCCGTCGTAGTCGTCGATCAATCCTGAAAGATTACAACGAACCAAATGAGAAGCAGTATGGTGATGAAAGGTTTATATTTATAACACAAAATGAAGTAAATGAAACTACGAGTTTATATCGATCGGAATTGGATATTGGGACGCACAAAATTAATGTCACCACACGTCGCCTATCAATTGTTGGGTTGCGTCACTATACACAATACCAGATATGGGTTTGTATTTTTCGGCATTTGTTTGTGGTGAAGTTCGCATATCTACTGTTCAGGATTCAAGCTGAAATAAATGTTAGCAGTTGTTCATATTATAGTACTAGTGATCTGGTAAATTGATATGAACATATCAATTCACAGTAGTTATCAATGCGAAGTTTAAATTGTAGTACTAGAAATTCGTTTCCAAAGTTGCTGTTCTTGTTTTTTCATTTTTCTGAGACTGAAATTTTGTAACGTATATAAAATTAATCTATACAGATCCATGCATGTCAAAATATATCGGCTCCAGGAGGTGCATATTGCTCACAGCGACCCGGCTGGATGGTCGTACGCACAGCACCAATTGGTAAATACTTCGTTTTTTAAAGAGTTGTTCGGAAAATATTTCTGATTTTTTTTTTTTTTTGCATATGTATCAAATATTTAGATTTCCAGATAGCCATATCAGCTTTCTTAATGTAGATCAAAAAAATTAGAAAATTTGTTTTCGGAATTTCTGATGTCTTTGAAACTACAGTCAGTTTTTAAATCGATTGATAACTTTTGAAGAGGATTGTAAGATTTATTCTATGATTATTTCAGCATCAAATGATTTGGTTGACAATAGAACTATCAAAGTGATTAACTCAACTTCCTTCAAACAAGACCCTCGCAGTCGTAAAATAACTTGGCAAGAACCGTCAAATCCAAATGGCATCATACTTGCATACAGGGTTACTGTTGTGGCCGAAAATCTTGCCCAAGTTCGTAAATATTTTTAGTAGTTGATAACAATGCCTTACTCAGTTGTTCTATTGCTGTAAATCTTAACAACAGCTTACTGAAGGAATAACTGTATTGTTTATAGATTATCATAATATTATGTATTGGATAACTTTACATAATCAGTTTTTATTTTCAGACACCGATAAGCCAATGCGTGAAGGCAAGTAATTTTCGGGAACGAGAAGGTGTGGTGTTCAATGGATTAGCAGAGGGTGAATATCTGGTACAAGTGGAAACAATATCTATGGCTTCGCTTTCGTTTCATGCCATTAAGGAAATAGCCGTGGCACATAAATTGTTCAAAATTGTGAAGCCGACGTTCTTTACAACAACAGTAAGCTATTAAAGTTAAAACTAATTAGAGCAATATGATCCGATATGATTTGATTATATCAGTAAAACTTTTTTGTGTACTTCAGGTAGTTTCATTTATCGCTGTAATTGTGCTCCTTGTATTATCTATCGGTTCCTTGGCTGCATATTATATATCCAGGAAAATATTGGGAGAAAAGGTATAAATTTAATAGTTTTTGAGCAAAAGTGAACATGTATCTTTTCTGCATACTTCATTCTTATAAAAAAAGAAATAACCGCAAACTATTTGAATTTTTTTCTTTTATTTAATTGATTTAATTAAATTATAGTTTCTTTCTAGGTTCGTGAATACGTGCGACAACAAATTTCGGCAAATCCTGAATATTTGAGCCAAATGGATGTTTATAAACCAGATGAATGGGAATTGAAACGGAGTGCAATTCATTTAGAAGATGAAATCGGAAGAGGGACTTTCGGCAAGGTATTCTCGTAGAGCAAAGAACTCTGTCTACTCATTCACTACATCTATTCAATCTTCATATTTTTTAAGAAATCAGTGTAGTTTTGTTAGATTTAAACCAGGATAATGCACAGGGTTTAGATTTTTGTTCTGAGATTGCAGGTATATCGGGGATATGGTGACAACTGCAAGTCATACTTAGGTGTTACCTTCGGTGAATGTGCAATTAAAACGGTATCCGAAACAGCAAATAGCGCGGAGCGTCTTCATTTTCTTATCGAAGCAAGCGTTATGAAACAATTCAATACACCTTTTATCGTTAAACTTTATGGCGTGGTCTCTGATGGTCAACCTGTTCTAGTTGTAATGGAAATGATGAAGAAGGTAATGTATCTTCTTACGAATGTTTAAAAAAAAAGGAAGTAATTCATTCAATATTGCTTTTCAAGTCCTATTTTTCAAGTTTTACATTAAAGGGTAATCTACGTGACTACCTGCGGTCTAGACGACCAAATGCTGAAGAAAACGTTAACGGTTTGCCAGTACCAGGTGCAATCGATTTCTTCCGTTGGGCGTCACAAGTTGCTGACGGAATGGCATATCTGGAATCGTTGAAATTTTGTCATCGTGATTTAGCTGCTAGAAATTGCATGGTATTTAAAATTTTGGAGTTTGGTTAAGATTTTGCTGGGAATATATATATTACTCTCACTCTACTATTTGGAAATTTTTTTACAAATCATTCTAGGTGAATGAATTCGATACAGTGAAGATTGGTGATTTTGGTATGGCAAGAGATATCTATTACCATGAATATTATAAACCAGCAGGTTTGTACATAATTTTGTTTTATTGATTTAGGGTCGCTGAAAACACTTTATAGATGAAAGGCGCTAATATATAAAATTGAGGCATTTTGAGTTCTCCACATTTGAAAGTCTGACTTAAAAACATTACAAACATGCCTAAAAGTTCTGTACTTCTTACAGTTCTCAGAAGCTGACGGTTTATTTTTCAATTTTTTCACTTTAAAGGAAAACGGTTAATGCCAGTGAGATGGATGGCACCTGAATCATTGATGGATGGTAAATTTACCATGAAGTCAGATGTCTGGTAAGAATTTATTATATAAAAGTATATATACAGGTTGAGTATCTTAAGTGATTCGAATATGGAAATAAAAATGCTTCATTTTAATAATTATTATTATTGTTACTATTATTATCATTAATTAACTACTTAATTATTATATAAAATAATTATGTAAAACTGCTTTAATGATAAAATCATTTTTATTGCTTTCTTAGCTTCTGTGATACATTTGAAAGATTTGAAGGAATTGTATTTGTTTCAAATTAAAGAAATTTTTTTTTTGTAAGACTTTGGAAAGCAGAAAGTTATGACAATTTGACATTTATAAACCTATTGATTCATTTACTTACCGGTTTAGAGATTACAGTTTCCGATTCAGTCTATCTGACTTTTTCGGTGGCAAGATAATTTAAGAAACAAACTAGTTGTAGACAGTCTTTCATGTCCAAAAATTCTTAATATAGAAATAATCTAGTATTAGGATGTGACGAAGCTCGGAATGTTGATAGGAAGAACGCACTTTACAGTAAACATCATATATATATATATATTATAAATTGAGATTTTATTTTTATTTTTGGAATTAAGTGTTGTTTACAACTACTAAATGCCAATTTCATATAGGTCTTATGGTATAACACTTTACGAAATGCTTACTTTGGCTCAGCAACCATATTTGGGTTTAGCCAATGAAAGTGTTTTCGATTATATTGGTGTGAAGAAGAAAATATTAACCAGACCGACTGGTTGTCCGGATTTTTGGTATGTTTGCGGATTTCAATTTCTTTTGTTGTGAAATGCTACGGCAAAAGATGATCATGACAAGTCAATAATCATAGCTTTCATTTGATTCATTATTAATGCCATGATTGCGCAGTTCTGAGCATAAGAATGATCTGCTATCATGTTTGATATTTTTGAGGTATGAATTGATGAAGCGTTGCTGGAAATACGATCCTCGTGAACGTCCCACTTTTGCTCAAATTGTTGGAATTCTACTGAGACATGCTGAGGGTGGGATACTTAATTTTCCTGATGATGAATTTCGTGAGGTATTTTTCTCTATATGTTTCATGTATTTCTTAATAAAAAGTTGTTTTATTTCACTTAGGCGATATTTTTTATAAAATGTTGGAAAGGGAGTATTTATCCCTTTTTTTTTCATCTTCATGGAAGAGATATTGTGAGAAGACTGAAACTGAAGTGTTCAATTTATGAACATAAAATACTCTAATTTATATAAATTAATACTTGCATTAATTTTTTTTTACGTAAATTAAAATACTTATGGCAACTTTTATATAAATTCAGATACTTATAAAATATGTACAGTTAAAATATTTATATGAGTTTTAAAATACTTGCAGTTTACCATAATTATAGTAGGTAAACTGAGCTGCATATTTAATTGAAATATTTATGATGATAGTGTGCGTACCATTCAGATGTCATTCGTGATGTCCAATCAAATGAATACGGATGACTATCTAGATGAAGAACTATTCCCAATTACTGATAGTAGTAGACTTGTACGAACTGCTAGTGCAGGACATGTTGATCAGAGCGAGGTAATGTTATTTTTTGCTTAATATGTTGACATTTTTTATCCTTACTAAGAAAACAATTCGACTAGATCACAACATTAAATTTGTAATGACATTATTAGTTTTTCTGTGAATTAAAACACATAATGTTAAATAAAATATAGAATTAAAATATTTATAGTGACAGTGTGTGTCGCATTTAAACATAACTCATATTTTATTATAGAAAGCCTATTCATGATTTATAAAAGCTATACGTTAATAAAGTATTTTTAGTAGTTTTTTAGTAAAAGCTATAGTTAATAAAGTAGTTTTTAGTAGTTAAAAGTAGTTTTTCCTTTTATTTCAAGCGTGGATTATAACGTTTAATTATTTCATTTCAGTTGTCAGCTTACATTGCTAGTCCTTTCTTTTAGACTTCATTCATCAACAGACCGGAAAAGCAACAATTAAATCACTCCAGTAGTAGTGGCAATATTCGTTATTTATCAAATAATAATGAAGCAAATATTCAGCCAAAGGTTCAACATTGGTTCATTTCTGACTGTGTTCACTTTAGTGATATTTAAAATATCATATGAGTTATAGGAACGAGAGAATTATAATTGTAGAAAGTTATAGAAACGAGAGAATTATAATTGTAGAATAGAATATTTAATTTCCGCTTTTATTTTTCGTTCACTGAAGCACTCATTGGTGATGTTTTTTTTTTTTTTTTTCCAATGATAATTTTTTTAGGAATTGTGTAAAATATTATGCAAGTTTTCTATACTTGCAGCGTATCATCAGTAGAAGGCTAATTATACTGAACAACTGCATAAATTTGATAGTATTTTGACGTTTTTTTTTAGCCAATATGTTTCTCAAATCGACGCAGTGGTATCTCATCATGGCGACGGAGTGTTGGCGGTTCTGATCATCTGCAGAGCGGCAGACGTAAATCAGAAACTGACATCAGTTTAACACGGTTTGATAGAAACGAGGATGAATTTTAATTTATTATGTTTATCAGTTCTAAATCCACTTTGTTTTATGTGGATTAACAATTTTCGAGAACAACTGATAATGAAACATTCTGGGAACTGATAAAACTAGAATCATTTCGGAAAAGAATAGAATAAATGGAATGTCTTACATGATTTCCGCAGTAATGATCTCTGAACATTTAGTAGTATATCCTAAAGAAAAATTAAATAACATTTTAATTTAAGTTCTTGCTTTAAAAAATTTTTCTAATTATTAACGGAATTACCAAGATAAAGCAATGATGCAGTTAAAAAAGGGCTAAAGTTGAAGCTAACTGCTGACTTAATATTTAGAAGTGAATCTCGTATTAGAAATAATGTTGCGTTGTTTATATGTGTTTATAATTTTTTGCTCAATTTTTTCTTCTCTTTAGTAATTTTCTTCATTTCTATCAAAAAGGAGAAATTCGTAAGCCTGTTAATTTGAATACGATTGTTGAACAAGAAAAATAGAATTTCTTTCATTCTCATCCTCACGTTACCAAAAAACATTTCTCCAACACAAATTCCTCCTCCTTTTTTGTCTTTCTTGTTCTCTTTTCTTTTCTCTCTGCATAAATATTTGGACTATGTGTTTTTTCATTAAATTTTCTAAAATTTGTTCTTGTTTATTGATTTGTTTTGTTATTAAAATGTCTGTAAATTTTTTTTTTTTTTTTTTTTTTGTTCTCTATATTTGATCTTCAAAGATATCATGGAGGTTTTTGTATTCATGGATTTGATTGCAGTATTTCAAGAAACCGTTTTTTTTATATTATTGGAAACAGTATCAGCATCTGCCATTTTTTTTTTCCTTTTTTGATATCTTTTCTGCTTGATCATCCTCTTCCCCTCCAATAAAAATGATTAAAATTTCTATTTGTTGTCCTGCAGATCTAATATACCATTGTTTCCATCTTCTGATAATCTCATTTTAAATTGTTATTGCTCGAATTAAATTGAAACATTTTTTAGAATTCTCTAGGTTCCAGGTTTTTCCCTAGGAAAGATGGGATGAATGGATCGGTGCTAAAAAGTAGCAACATTTTGTTCCTTAGCTTTGTTAAACATTTTTTATAGGCGCTTTCCTGTTAATGTTTTTGATAGTAAACAAGGTAGTTTCCTCGTCTTTTTTGAAAATTTTTTCAAACTTTAATGAATATATGATTATCTCTGAGTTTATTATAAGAATATTTATAATTTGTTATAGTTCTAATTATTTGTGATTCTAATAAAAGGATCTTTTTTAGTCGTTGTTTTTTTTTTTTGTATATCTAAACATAAAGGACATTTGAATTTTAAATTTCATTATTGTTAGTGCAATTATCACACTATTTTTGTGTTACACCATGTTTTGATGAACGCGTAAGCACGTACACTTGATCCTTCTTACACGTAATTAAAATTTTTATTTCAAGCTGCACAAAGGCGAATTATTTCTTCTTGCTTATATTCAACCAGAAATGCATGATGTAAAGTTTTATACTTTAATTTACATAAGGGCGTTTTGTTACAATTTCAAAAATTTATGCGTCATACGAGTTAAGCCAATTTACTGAAATCTGGTTGCACTTTTTATTTGCCGATTCTTTTTCTTGTTAACTCATCTTGCTGCTAATATTTTCATGAAAAATTTTGAACAGCATGCAGCAGAAAAGCATAACGTGTGCAATCATAAACAACATTATAACAAGTAATGAATAATACTTATAAAATGCAAATAATAAATACAAGTGGCGATAGATCTCATTTATAATTTTGAAGAGGGCTTGAGGTAGACATAAACTCGAAAGAAATTATTAAACGCTTGAAATTAAATTGTAAGCGTAGCTTCCAATCGTACGGTTTTACCCGTGCAATTGTATATTCTATCCAATTGTATGAATGCGTTAAGTGCGTAATGAACGGTTTTTATCATTCTGGTGGTATATCATTTGAACATTGGGTTGTTCGTTACCGGTATTGTTTCGAATGTGGAAATTGATATTCCGGTAACATAATTATCTAAATACAGCTTTGAAAATCCACGGCAATCAAATCACAAGGGAACTGTTTGTCATCGATATGAATTCTTTTGCGACTTTTTTGTATAGTCTTTTTATCACTTGTAGAATCTGATATTTCGCTAGCAAAATTTAGTTTAGACACTTGGTTTCTCACCTCGACATATAATTGATTAATAGCAATGAAACAATTTTCCATCGGTACGAGTTTTCCTGAGTTACTGAAATTTGACTTTGATATCGTAACCGGATAACTTTTCACCGATATTTCAATTCGCATAATTCCGATTATCGCATCTTATCGCATTTTATGATCTCTTGTCTCCAGCTACCGGTCTTTAATATAGTCTTATCCAGGAATGTGAATAAGCAGCCGAAACCAGTGAAAGTGAAAAATAGGTAATGAAGGAAGGTGACTGAGTGAGCTACTTGATTAAGAAATGGAAAGATAACAGATAATAATACTTTTTATGGTGATGTTGTTTGCAATATTTCATATCCTTTGTGTTTTAATTTTGCTGGATGCAAAAATATGAATAATGGAACTACTTATAGTATCTGATATTTTTTGCACAAAGATGTGAAAAGTTGAGCTATTTGTAATACATAACAATTTAACCATTGAAGACAAGTTTGATGCTCTCCGACATCGTGATTTATGGAGTTAGGTAAATGATTCATTACACTGGTCATCGTAATACACATTTATTTTATGTGATTATTTACTTCAATGAGAAAATTTCTACAACACAACGCGCAAAAACTTTACAGCTTCTGCAAATCAAAGCAAGATGTTCTGTATTGCAGAATTGATTCTATATAATATCGCCTTTATTGTATTGTATATTGCATCTTACGTGACTGGCCAACTTTAGCAGGATCACGTTGAAGAGCTTCGAGCAACTTCTCAATCTTCCAAGACTCTACGCACAATGGCAAGTGCTTTAGTAATACCAGCGAACTTCCATTAGGTCCTTCGTTCTTTTATTCTGTCCCACAGTTTTCCTGCAATTGGATGAAAGCAGATGTCATATTTGTGATGCTTTTATCAGTTTGGAATCACACTGATTCTCAAATAGTTCTTTTGGAGCATCGAGTGCTAAACTATCCAAAAATATTTCACTAAATCATGATACTTACAGTATCCGCAGTAAGCTCACAGAACTTAGTGTGGAATGTTTAACTGCTTCCAGATTTCTGATAGAATTCCATCCAGTTTAATTCTCAGTGACTACTAAAGAAAATTCTTATTTGAACAGCCCTGAATATTAAAAAAAATTGAAATGACCGGCCATCAACTGGGAATAAATGCATACCTATAAAACGCATTTAGCCAGCCTCGTATAACTTGCCACTCACCCCCTGTAAATAGTTGAATCTTTCCTGCTAAGTCGATCGATTACTCCAGACGTTTCGAAAAAAAACTCCATCCTCCTTTCTCGTACTTCCCAAAATTCTATTCCTTTCATGTCCTTCGACTTCTCTGTTTTTATTTTTTTCTTTTTTTTTCTAAACCAGTAACTCCGATATCTTTTCCGCTGGAGGAGGATGGAGAACTGGGACAGGCAGCGGCAGCTTCGTCGAGTGAGGAATACCTGCCTGAAAGAGAAATTCACTGATTAGAAAGCTATGAAATCGACTTCATGGTTGTTTTGTTTTTACTAATTCCTTTTTCGTTTCCAATTTTCGCTTCACGACCTTGTTAAACATTTATGTGGGACAAAAAAATACTGAGCACTCTCTTCTCTTCCATACAATCAACAAGTTTATACTTTTCGATTTAATCAAACGTAGCTAAGATTATCATTCCAAAGTACTTACCGTCCTCCTTACGTGTTCTCGAGATGTGCCAGCCTTTTAGTGTCTCGAACTGCCTGCCGCAGATACCATACTGAAAAAAAAAATAATAATAATAATACAAACTATTTGTTAGAGTAAATTGCCTACGATGTATTACATCCCAAACTACAGACTCACAGTCATCCTCAAAGTTACTAAAATTATAAATTACCAATGTTGATACATCCCTCCAATTCAATCATCCTCTTTCCGATTCCTTCCAGAGTTATTCCAGAAACAATTTTGAGGATGAAATATTTTGGGTATAGCCGCAGTCCACGTCATATGCATGACTGGAACTGGAATTCTGATCGCCATAGGATCAGCATTGTGTACCTTTCCTTGTACATTAAAATAAGGCTTACAAGACGATTTCCCGAACTCATTCTTCCAAAACCTTAACGCTACCTATCTCTACTGGTGATAACAGCACCTCCCAGCTCTCCTCGCCATCGTTTGGCAGAGAAAGCTACTTAAACGCCCACCCTGCTCCTTCTACATTTCGCTTAAATTTCGGCTCTTGAGGTGCCAATCCCTCTTCCATTTCTTCTGCTTTTTCACCCTACCCTTCCTCCATTTGTTATCGCCTTCCGATAATCTCCTCTCTGTCTCGGCTAAACTAGCATATAATGATTTCTTGTTAACATGAAAAGCGTATAGCGATCACTTGTAATGATCACTCTTAGTGCTCAATCTTTCTCTTCAAATTTTTAGAACTTTACTAATCTTAACATATATTTAATTCTTACAATTTTTTTTCTTACCACGGTTAATCAACAACAGCAAGGGTAAAAATGATAAAACCAATTAATGTGTAAGAAATTAATGATAAAAACAATGTAATTGTGATACAAATTAGTAATGTAAATTCAACATAAAAGAACCTTCAGATCTGAATGGAAAAAAAAAAGGAAATGTTAAATTGAGATTTGTATTATCTCATGCAATGTCATTATATGACCAAAATTTATTCTAAATTTTATAATGTTTCTTAACGTAAACAAAAAATAAATGTGTACTCTGAAACTATAATAACACTTATGGTAAATGCAAATGAAAAAAACATGTAAGATATTAGCATCTTAGATAAATTGTTTAAGTGATGTTTTTTATTTCTCGGATGCATAACATCTACCATTCTCAAAATAGTAAAAGATAAGTGATACAAACACTAAGAGTCCAAACGTTAGGAACGATCGATTGGCACCGTTGCATTTAGATGCGTTAAATATAGACGGCTGATTTGTAGCTGTTAAATAATTGAGTTTGCTTGTCAATGTTTGTTTTAGTCATATTTCGACTTAAATTAATTAGTTCACTAAAGTTCTTAAAATATTTGAAAATTTAATCTGTTTTTTTCTTAAATTCAATGAAGTCGATCAACTTCAACTTTATTATTCTTTCATATGTTAGCTTATTGTTGTTAGCTCTTACTTAACGTAGCTCTTATTTAAAAGTCAAGCCTCAATTTACGTATAATTATGAATATGACTGAGATCTCTCTCTCTCTCTCTTCATTTATTCTGATATTTTTTTAAAGAAAAAAGATTTTTTTTTTTTTTTTAATGATTCATGTTAAATGTTATGTTTGAAATTGTTCTTAGAGAGCAGATGTCTTCCTGTACAACTTTTAAGTCCTCACTGATTGTTGTACTATGAGAAATTTTGAAGATCATATAATAGGTATTTCCAGATATTAATGCATATCTTAAAATATATACCATTTCCTTTAATTTTAACTTCCTTTATTTACTTTTACAGTTTTTCTTCCTGCTTTTATTATAATAGCAATCTCACTTTATTTTGGAATATTATATTACTGTATTGAAATTACAACAAATTTTGTGATAAAATGGGTGAATTACCACCAGCAACTTCATTGAATGACTTGTTGTCGCAGCTAATGAGCATATCAGAACAATCCTTGGATGACCATACTCAGCAAAGGTTTTGCTCTTTTTTCTTCATTTTGCTATTCTCATAATAATAACTCCAAAGGCAAAAGCTTATAATGTTATAATTACTCCTGGACTGCTTATAGGGTTATAGTAAAAGAAGTTTAAAAGCAAACACTTGTTTCTCAATGTTTTCAGGAAGCAGCAGCTGCAGAATCATCGTATGAAAAATGCTTTATTTGAAGTTTTATGCGAAATTAAGGAAAAAACAGGTTTTTTTTTTTTTTCATTTTGTGATTTCTCCGTAATGTTTTATCATTGTGAAAAATGAAGTGGTATCAGGTAGCGAATAAACATTGCTTTCTGGATTGCAGCACTTTCCATTCGAGGTGGTCAAGAAGAGGCACCAGAAGATCCACAGCTTATGCGACTAGATAATATGCTGGTTAGTCTTATAAATACAGCGATAATGTAAATAAATTCGTACTGTATAACCGTGTATTTCTTTTATCATCAAAATTTCTTATATAGTTTTCAGCTCGTTTTTTAGGTTGCCGAAGGTGTGGCTGGTCCGGACAATCGTGGACCAATTCAGAGTGATACCAGTGGTGGTGATCAAGCTGATTATCGGCAAAAACTTACTCAGATTAGACTGGTATACAGTGAAGAGTTACGGAAATATGAAGAGGTTCATTTCTGTCTTTAATTTTTAAATTTTAACATCGAATGCAAATGAAAGGTGCCGATAAATTTTGCAAAAGATCAAGCATTTCTGACCTGCAAGAAATACTGATTGTTTTTCAGGCTTGTCAAGAATTTACTCAACATGTTGTATCGTTGCTACGTGAACAAAGTCGAACTCGACCAATTGCAAACAAAGAAATTGAGCGGATGGTTGCTATTATACAGAAGAAATTTTCCGGAATACAGGTAAGTAATAAATAAAACTCATTTCTGTACTGTGATGCTTTGGTCAAGCTAAGAAACTGAATGTAGATTTTGCTTTCGAATTCTTTGAGGTAAAATTTTTTTGAGATAATAACTAGTTTACTTCAATCGATTATCGAATGATCTCTAAAATTACTGAACTCTAATAATTTAGTTTCTGTAGTGCAATCATGATGATTATATTAAATTATAGTGGAAGACGACTTCATAAAATTCAGAAAATAACAACTTCCAAACTTTTGCATTCTATTGATTACAATTTATTCCTCATTTCACTCTAATATTTTTGCAGGTACAACTGAAGCAGTCAACCTGTGAAGCAGTAATGATTCTTCGCTCACGGTTCCTTGATGCCAGGTGATTTTTTCAGTAATCAATTACAGCTACTAAGACCGTAATGAAAATTTTTTAAGTGTAACTTCCTTAAGAATAAGTTTACTAAATCTCTACTGTAATGAACGTATTAATACTAAATGTGTTTTCTGTTCTTCACAAGAATTTTATTTTAAAATTATAGGAGAAAACGGCGAAACTTCAGCAAGCAAGCTACGGAAGTGCTGAACGAATATTTCTACTCACATTTAAGTAATCCTTACCCATCAGAAGAAGCAAAAGAAGAGTTGGCACGACAATGTCAGATTACTGTTTCCCAGGTTGTTTTCTTAATCTCTTTTTCAATTATTTTTCTATAATATTATCATAGATATAATATTATCTATAATATTATCATATTTCCAAGTGGTGATCTCACTGCATAACAGTTATAATTGTGTTGAGTCACTCATTCAACTGACATCCAACATTATGATAGTGATGTACATGACAATATTTAATTTAGGTGTCGAATTGGTTTGGCAATAAACGAATAAGGTACAAAAAAAATATAGCAAAGGCTCAAGAAGAAGCCAACATGTATGCAGCTAAAAAAGCTGCGCACGGTAAATCTGGATTTCTTTTCATCCCATTCATTATAGAGGACTTTTTAGAATGACTCTTAGCAAAAATGTATATCATTTAAATTTCTTTGAATCAAGGTATATACAGTCAAAGCATTAACTGCATCAAACAACTGTATTGTTTAGCCACTACGTCTCAGGTCAAATGAAGATTCAGGTAGCCTCCAAAAAAGGACTTATAAAAGATTAAAAAAGACTTATAGTGTGAGCCAGTTGCAAAAATCAAAGCTTATCGGAAATGAAATTGGTGGTTCATGCGTTTTCAAATTAAACTTGAGTGCTGATCTTAATTTCACTACTAGGTTTTACAGCTGCGAATCAATACGGTATGTTGGCAGCAGGGACATCAGCAGCCGGAAGCATGCTCAATTATCCAGCAATGCTTCCAGGACAGGATCTTGCACATCATATGACTGCTGGTCTTGATTTCACTGCCGGTTATAATCCTCAGCTGGTAGGTATTATTCACCCGATGGCTCGGAATGATCCGTTCAACGATCTGTAGCATTAGCTTATGCTTAATTTATTAAATGATCAATTAGTTGCTTAAATCTTGCACTGCTTATGCTTAATTTATTAGTTGATTAATTAGTTGCTTAAACTTCCTAGAACTCTGTCTTCTTTCAAATGGATATAAATCTCAATTATTGATGAAAATAAATGGAGTGAGACAGTCAAACGAGTCTTTTTCATTATTGCATCGGTTTGCTGAGAACTAACACTTATGAAGTGAATTATCATGCTTTACCTGTTTATTTACTTAGAAATCGTCAGTTATACTTATATACTGTGAGTTATTGTACGTTTGCCTATGTTTCATACAATTAATTGTGGGCATAAGGGTTTTCAAATTAGCGGACTATCGAATTTATGATAGCAATTTAGCTTTGAAAAACAGTAATTTAAGGTAAAAGAGGAATTTAGATTGCACAGCAGCCGTGTTCAAATAGTATCGCATTCCTAGATTTTTATTTGGATAAACTAACATATGAGTCTAATTCAAATTAACAGCAGATTGCATGAACTTGCTGTTACGAATTCCCCGTTACCCTTACGCCAACTGTAATTTTTATGGAATTTTAATTCTTTGACTGAAAAACTTACCTTTGCATTTTCAACTTCGTGCTGTTTCCATTCAAACAGAATTTTTCCCGTAATTAATTATTACTTAAACTGTTTGTAATTTCCAGATGTCTACAGCTTACGGAATTCCTCCACCAAACAATCCATCACCGCAGTCTTAACGTAATGCTTACTAACTTATTTTGCCGTTGTTGTTGCTGTTGTTCTGAAATCATAACGCTTACTGCATTTGTGTTCTGACCATCAGTAGATTTTATTTATTTTACCCTAATAGATGCATTTATTGAAATTTCGCTTCAAGAGTTAATTGCAACAGTGTAGCATACGGTTGTGCAATTTTGAATTACGTGCTGTGATGTAACCATTATCTAAGATGTCTGAGCTAACTTATAGTACTCGTCAAACTAATTTTATTTAGAAATAGAAAACACTCGAAATTACTAAAAATACATATGTCTTTCTTACACTGTTGCATTTGGTTGGTATCTTGAAGTAAATACTCTCTCAACTTCACCTATCAAGTGAAGTTTTGGAGAGCAAAATGCAATCAGTGACCTAAGTTTAAACACAGTATTTCTTTCAAAAGCTGTAAGGTGCTATAATTGTAGTTTTTTTATAATTTGATAGACATTGACTCAAAACTAACACTGTGAAAGAAATGAGTTTTTGGAAAATAGAGGCTGAGTTTTGAGGAGAATGAGCAAGTTATTCCGACATTTATTATACATTGCGAAACCATAATTTGCAAATTTGGATTGAACACTCTCAAAGTTCAGCTTTAATTTTAATGAAATTCTTCCTTTTTCACAGACGCTACCCACAGTAAGCGGTGAACCACCAATGAAGAAATCGAAAAATGAATAGTAGATGAACCAGCCAACTCAGCACCTCAATACGCATTTAAGGCAAAGTTTTTTTTTTTTTTTTTTGAGCAATATTTGTGATATTCATTAATTTCGAATGATTTTCTCTCACTTTGTACTATTTTCTTCCACCATTGTTTTGCTTTTTTTTTCTTTTTTTTTTTTTTAAAAGCAGAGAATTAAAATTGCTGCAGAAATTAGTAAAAATAAATTTTTGCACAAGAAATGTTATTTTGTGGCTAACAAATATATGCAAAAAAAATTGTTACTTTGCACTTTTCATAGTAATGCAAGAAAAGAATAGCACTTCGCACTTAACTGTACTGTCACAAGAAACTACTTTTATTCCATTTCAATTTCCGATCTCATTTTTTGAAATTATAAAACTATTCGAAAATGAAATTTGCTTCATCTTATGTATTATGTGTTCTAGAAAGGTTAAAAAAGCATTACAGAACTGAAAATTTCTATTGTTTCAATGTACTGTGGTATTTGAAAAGTCGGTACTATGTATGATTTGTTGTTGCTATTGTTCTTTAGTAATTCTTATCAACTGTATATCATTTGCATTTGATTAATCAAAAATTTTCTGGAATATTTTCTGCCAATTTTTTTATTTCTCATTTTTTTTTTTTATTTTGGGATATTTATGCTTATTTGATTTGTTTTAAAAATGTATAAAGTATTGAAATCAGTCAACTTTATGATTTGTTGAATTTATTCATATCAATTGTAATTTTTAGCAAAACAATTGATAACTACTGGAAAGTAACTTTTAATGATCAATCATAGATAATAGAAAAATGGATTTAGAAAATAGATCTAGAAGAATTAGTCTATAGTATTTGACTTGACTAATTTATTATCCAAATTTTTATCAGATGATTTATGATTTGCTACTCATCTAATTCAACTGCTCTTACTATCAAATTTATCCTAACCTTAGCTGTTGACAATACAGTTAGTTGTAACATTAAATCGCAGAATTTGTTCAAATGTCAGTATCAGAACTCGAAATCATAATTTCTGATACTGATTCGGTCAGAAAAATACGGTGGCGTAAGAGATAAATCAACTGTGGATGAATTGGTGAATTTATATTGTGTGTGTGTGTGTAAAGAAAGAAAAAGTAATCAAATCGTTGTAGTTCGTTTTTTTTCTTTTCTTCTTTTTTTTAGTAGGAAATGCATGAAACATATTTTAACGTTCTTTTTTTATCCCATAATTTCAACTATTTACTTGCCCTTGTCATATGCTAATAAAATTTCCTAAATAAAGTTTTTTTTTTTTTTTTTTTTGATGTAAAATTAAGCTTTCAATACGTTGAATTTATTGTTCTGCTCGAAAGTGTAGTATTGATTGGCTGATTGATTAAGTAACAATTGTGACCAATAATAATTGCAAAAGGAAATTTATGGATTTGATAGCGTCTTTTGTCATAGTTATCTTTTCGGCATTTTGAAATTGTATCTAATTAAATACATTCGAGAAATTATTCATGCATGTAATTTGTTAATCGAATTTAAATCTTAAATCACAAAAGATCATAGCCATAGAAATGAATATCCTGCCTCAAACTTATCAAAGTTTTACACTGATAAATGATGTGATAAATCAGAAAAAGTAGACGTCAATAATGGAGAGGATAAAATTTGTCAATGTTATTTTGTTTGTAACGTTTTAAATTGAAGCAATTATTTAAATCTTAAGTATCTATACTTAAACCCTATTATTATATATTCCATTATATTTACCTTGCATTACTAGCAAAATTGATATCACGATAGTATAGCAGCGAATATACAAATGAGTATAAATTGTTTATAAAACACCTAAAGAAGCTGTTGAGATCAAATTTTACATCATCAAATTAGGTGGCGTAAACTTAAAACATTGAGTTTACGTATCAGTGTAAGTTAATATTTCATTTTGTTGCTAATAATTGCTAATTTCAGGTCTTCTAAAATGTAAATTTATCTTAGGAACAGTCAAATAGATATGGAATATAATAAACGATATCGAAGAAATATAGAAATGAACAGACGACAACATATACTATCATCAAATAATTCATTTGGTATTGATTGTTCCTGAATTTTTTGAAGACTTGAGAGAAATTGATTAAGGTGTAATTTTGGTGACAACTTCAAATGTTTATAAATATGTATAGGTTTCTTAGATCGGTAACATGTAGTGTTTTGGTTTTTTTTTACAAAACAAGTTTTTACAATACATTTAGAATATCGTAATAAGATTATATTACGTATTATTAGAATTGTTGTAAATCGTTTCATTTTAATGTTACTGTTAAAAACGGGTGATTCTTTTTTCTTGAAGATCCTTTAAATTCTTGAAACTATTTAAAGTCTTTACAATAATTTATTAGGATTGATATATTGAAAATACTTCAGAGAAAACATGAACTCTTTACTTATCATCTGATATTTTCAAATATTTATTGATCAAAACTTTAGACTTTAGTACTTTTCTGTTGTTGAAATATATTAGAAATGCTTATTAAAATGAATAACTTATTTGATTTTCAGTTGCTGGGGAAGCTAGTTCCAGTGACGAGCAGTTAAGAAAGAGAAGAAGAAGAAGAAATCGAAATCATGCTCAGAGAGGGTTATAATTCTTCAAGATTGATACAAATTCAAATCATTTGCACTCATTTTATTACTTTTCAATCATACTTTATCTAATAGATGTGCAATTATCATACATTTCGTAGTTCTAATGATGCGTAGTAATGGTAGATGAGAAAACTGATATGAAATTTAGTCACTTAATGATAACTTTAATCTTTAGCTTATTTAGCAATCGTGGTATGAATGAAATTGATCATTCAACTAATGAACAGCAATTGTCTCATGGCAATGCAACTGTTGAAGAAAGTGACATACCAGGATTCGTATATGACAGTGTAACCAAACGGTACTACAGAGTGCAACCACAAGCTAGTGGCCCCGTAAGCTTTGTTATTTTTATACTTCTTGCTTTTTTACTTCTTTCTAAATAAAAATTGTTCGAGTAAAAAGCTTTATTTTAGAATATTGGATTCCGTGAAAGCGATTTAAGAGACATTCGGCAGCATAAATCATTTATGGCTGAACGTGAACGATGTTGTGCTAAATCTTGTCCGTCTGTTTCATGGTTACCAAAAATAATGCAAAATAGAGAATTACGTGGTTGCAATATATTACGACTTACACGTTTAGTTACTGAAGGAGCATTACGTGGCGTCCGAAAAGAGCCTAGTTACGTTCAAACAGTCAGTTTTATTGGATTTTGTTTAAGCATTATTGTAACATGGTAAAATGAATGTTAGTTGCAAACAAAAATTTTAAATATAATGATAAAACATAGGTGAATATTCTGATGAACAAACGATTAAGCGAATTAGTAGAGTTTGGTTAAAAAAAGGTATTTGTTTATAATCAAGCAGTTTATACTAATTCATGCAATAAATTAGACTGCTGCAAGTTGAAGAATATTCGATACTTTCACTAATTTCATTATTAATTTTGCATCTTAATACAGAACTCCTTGTAGTCATAAGATGGTGCACCATCATTTCTGTTCAAACTGATATACTAATACACATAATATTTTACATAAGTCGAACTGCTTAATCAAATGAATGAATGAGTGCTAATGATAGCTCTTATTCAGGGATATACAGATATTGAGGCATTGCATTCTTGTCATTATATGGACATCAGCACAGATGGGAAAACTATCGTTGGATGTTGGTCCGTGAAACGACGGCGAGATGAAGGATGCAGGGATGCATGTGGTGCACGTATCATTTGTTTTAAAGCTACAACTGGTTCTTATCATAAGATGAAGATGTACGTTAAAAATGATAGAAAGTATCGAGTATGAGTAAAATTATTGGAAACTTAACAACAGCAATCACAAGTTTACTGAAATATTTATTTGCTTTATATAAAGCGAATCATTTACAATGAGTTCAGTATAAATAAGGAATTTTTGATTTTAATCCTGTTTTAAAGATTCGTGTAAGGGTTACATTTAGCGTGCAGTATTGGAATCAGTTGTTTCCAGTATTTCAGTTGAATGCATGTTAAGTTTATTTGTAGAGAAAGTGAATATCGAAGTAAATTTGGATTGAAAATTCGAAACAGTACATATTGCGCAAATCTGATAAAATCAAATTTAATGGATATGTGTGTCGAGCCAATAAATGACAATATCACATGTGCATTGTACGTTACGACACAGACAATTGTTACCATGCATAATCGATTTTCAACTTTAAGTCGAGTTTGCATTGAACCAGTGGCTGAATTTTCCTCAGTTTATGTAAGTTATAAGATTGATTCCAATTGAAATAATATTTTATTCAAAATTTAACATTAAAGTATAATAGAAACCAGAATATGGTTTAATGCATGATCCAAAAGAAATTGTTTAAGGACTACGCACTTTATTTCATTACAAAGGTACATATTCTAGGATTCGACGGAATTACATTTGCCATCTTATAACATGACATGGACATGTCAGGAGTATGTACGTGCAATAACTTTCAATAGAAATGGAATGGAGATTGGAATTGGTTAGTTATTATAACATTCAAAAGTTTTTTTCTAATGGAAATTAAGACATGTTCAGCTTAAGCTTAAGATTCAATCTAGGAGTAAATCATTGTTGTATATGAAGTTGGATTTATTTGAGGTTTCTGAACTGAGATATCATATGTTATTTCCTTTCCTATTTTTACATCAGATTTAGTTGAAATATTTAAAATTAAAAATAAAAAGTAGTTGAAAAATTTGAGTAGTTTTTTCAAGCAAGCAAACCGTCATTCAAATATCAGCTATCATTCATTAAGAAATGATATAATTTAAATTTGGGATTATGGTTTCCAAGTTTGGCTTTGTTATCTAGTTCGTTTCAGAGTAGTTGGAAGTTTTTCACACTATGATGAATCAAGCAATTAAGAGGGGAGAATGTAGAGAGAAGTCATTTTTGTACAAATTAAATTAGAGTAGCGAAAATTCATAGTTGAAATAAATATATATTATTATTTAATAATTCAAATACATCTATATGGTTTATAGGACTGGAAAAAAATGCTATGTTGTTGAATATTTCTACGGAACAAACTACTCGTATTAGCAGTTTGGAAAAGGGTGTTATGAGCCTAGCTTTTAGTACGGTGTGTTTCAGCACTTATTTTTTGTATATTCTGTTTGAGATCAAATCTTGAGTGTTGATTAAGCTATAATTGATTTTTGAAATAATATCGGCTAATGCTTGATTTATATGCTAGATTTTGTTTCATGCCTTTTTTGATTTATATTTCCTTGCATGTTTTAGTCTTCGCACCGCAAGATTTTTGTTTTTTCTTTGTGCTCATAGCGACGATAGATTATGACGGAATAATATATTTACTACAAAAAAAAAAAAAAAAAAAAAAGCTGATTTGAAAATATGACTTTTAGTATTAGGTAATTGAAAAAGAAACGAAAAGGGATTTAGTGACTATTGTATCCTTTTTTTAATGTTCTTCATTTCTGAAATATGAATTGTATAATAATGCCTTGGAATTTTTCTACTTTTAGAATTGATAATACATTGTTATATTGTATTTTGAAAGACAGTTTGATTTACAAAAAAAAAAAAAAAAAAAAAAAGAAGACTAATTTTGAAATTCATTTCCATCTCATAATTTCGAAATATTTTAAGAGTTTCAGGATGGAAATTTATTATTTATGGGTCTAATGGGTGGTAATGTAATTTGCTCAGATTTGCGAATGAGTAATCGTGATATTGTTGCTACTTACAATGATACGAAAAATGTTGGTTGGTTGAAAACGTTACGAACAAAGCTTGATATGTTTGTTACCGAAGATCATTTTGGAATCGTGAGTTTTTTTTTCTTCGAATCCACTAGTATATATCTTTTAAATCTGATTGAAATAAGTGAAGAGATGTTGAATATTTTATATTTCTACCACATCATTTAATTTTGCATATTTCTTTTTTTTTTTCTTCATGAATTGATTTAAACATGATCATTTCTGAAGATTTTGATTTCAGATAAAATTTTGGGATATTCGGATGTGTAAACCTCAATTCAAAATTGAAGATAATATAAATCCTTATAATAAAACACCGATGCATCTCGAGAAGGATGAAAGGATTCTCTTCTCAGGTTAATTTTTTTTTTTTGCTAGATTTCATTTACAAAATAGATTTTACATTCCTTGAAAGATTAGAAATTCGATAGACTATCATATAGGAACAAATTGATGCCTGTTATTCTCCAAAGTTTCTTTATCCACACTATTCATTCTGTCATCTATGAGAGATATTCATATAAAAAAGAAAGGCTGAAAATGCGAATTATTATTTCTTTTCCTTTTCATGAGAATTAGTTTTGTCGTAATTTTTATAAGAGTAATTTTGAAAATGAAGTCAGCGTAGTTTACATTTTATCTTCATCGATATTTAGAGATTAATGGGAACTGTAGAATGAACTGTCTATTATTTTGCTAAAAGTTGATGTGATAAAGAATTTCATTGTAGCTACCTCAGACGGAATCACTCGAGCTTGGTCAACATATAATGGTGAGAAGTTATGTGAATTTCCAAGTCATGATCCGAGAAATTTATCACGAAAGCCGAAGCTTGCTTATGCATCTAATTTAGGTGGTCTCTCTGGTAATGCTGCTATTCTTATAGCTACTGGAAGTGACTTTCATGTTCATGAATTAGTATTATAATTTTACATCGTTGCTGTAAATGTTACAATTCTATAATATGTTTATTTTTCAATTGCAGTTCGAAAGTTCTGATTTCTAATTACACTCAGAAATTGAACTGTTTTTTGTGTTCTCGATGCTTGACTAATAGGAACTTTTCATTTTACATGACTATCGCTTTCACAAACGAAACTGTCAAAGATTTGGTGATACCTTTGATTGATCTAGAAATTTGTCAGAAAGAGAATGAACTTTTTTGTCGTCTGTTTTTTTTTTTTACATAATTTGAGCTATCTAAAGAATTTAAATATTTCTCGCAAAAATACTTTTATTGTATTCAGCAATTTTTTATTTTTATTTTTTTGCCTACATAATATAACATTTGTGATAAATTTCTGATAATTTTTTTTTCTTTATGATAACTTTTTGTGTAATGATGATATCCTTTTATTGTACCATTATAGCAAATTGAATAGTCCGAAACATTCTAAAAATTCCATACATTCTATTGAAATAATTAAAAAGAAAAAAAAAAACTCAGAATATTAAGTGAAGATCTCAAGAGCATTGATCTTACGGTTTGTTTTTCTTACACATTTTTTATACAGTTAATTTCCTCACATTTTTCCTTTTTTTTTTTTTTTATGTTATTAACTTTTTTATGTACTGTTATGTACCTTATTAATTTCCAGAAAAAAAAAGTGCATCAAATTATACATTTCACATTTTTATTAGTTTCTCATTTTTTAAGGCTTTGTTTTTCACATCCTTAATTCATACTTTGCATTTTTTTTTTTTTATTTTTATTCATTGTTATCATTAACTTTTGCATTTGTTATAATGAATTGAATGAGCTATTCTAGGAATAAAGCTTGTCATAAAAGTAATCGAAATATCTGAACAAGTATACTTGTCTTCGAAATGAAATTTCTGCATAATCTCTTTAGCATATGATTAATCATAATTCATATGATTAATTATAATTCCTAATTCATACTTAAATTTTACTCTTCAGTCACGTATCATAGCAATCAAAAAACTAGTAAAATGGCGAACTGTACAATTTAAATGCTTTTAAATTGTGTGGTATTCAGTGTAAATTTCCTTTTATAATAAAAGAACACAAATTTAAGGGATAAAAGCGTAACAAACGTGAGATAAACGTAGAAAGCTACGTTATAACTATAAAATTATGATGCATATTAATTTTTGATAGTAATTTCTGGCATAAATTTAAGCGATAGCATTTACTAAATGGAAAGAAAAAGAAAATTATTTGAAATTATTAAGCTGGAATTCTTTTTTTTTTCGGACTGTTTTTAACTACCTAAAAAATTAGATCTAAAAAAGAGACACATGTATAAATTATGTGATTATGTTAAATTATATGATAATTGAATTTTTTAGATATTTGGAAGAGTTTGCATAAACAAATCTCATTTTCTGATAAATATTCATGAAGTAGTATTTTGAAAATTAGATATAAAAGTTATAAAATATTTAAAAATTTGAAAAAAAAAATTTCTAACTTGTAAAAATATTTAAAAATAAAATAAAATTTTGTAAAATTTTAAGTAGAGAAATCAATTTGTAAGATGATATTTGTGTGTATGTTTTTTTTTTTTAAGAAAAGTGAAGAAAATAAGAAGAAAGAAAATTGAATTTTACTTTATTGATGATTGAAAAGATAAGAAAAGCGGAAGATGGTTGAATGATAATGATGGTCGATTAAGATGATAAATATTTATTTCATCGTTTAGCAGTTTCGAATTCATTTGTTGTAACAGTTGTTGCATAATGGTGCTTTCTCGATTTTGGTTATTAACATTTATTTTACATTTAACTCAATCATTATTGCTACTTAAACGTGGTTTACGTGATCGTGAAATTATTGATAATGAAAGGAATAATTGTACGTTACAATTCACTTGCAAACAACAACATGTAATGGTTTACTTTTTTTGCTTATTGATTTGTTTATTTATTTATTTTTTTTTTTGTTGTTTTCTCTCGTAATTGTATTAAAGAGGAATAATTTTATTAAAAAAAAGAATGAAAAGTAAATGTTTAACATAATTTTTCATCAAAAAATATTATATACTATTTTATGTAATTCAATAAGAGGAGAAATATTTACGAAAGTAATTAGAATTAATTACATGCTAAAGTAATTATGTTAATAGAATAAGTAACAAAGTAAAATAAATAATTGATAATTAGTTATAGTAACTAATTAGTAAACAAAATTTTGACATTAACATACTAATAGTTGTATCGAATTTCAGATAGAAATAATTATTATAGTAAATTAATAAAATTAGTTTGAAATATTCTTTTCCTTTTTTTTTTTTTCATTTCAACAAATTAATTATTTCATTAATGTTAATTATAATAGCATAAAGAAAATTGTTGCAATAAAATTGATAAATTACAGGTATATGATAATAATAAATTACTTTATATGATAATAATAAATTACAGATATAATATGTGTTACTTATAATTATTTAAATAATAAATTGAAATAAGCAATTCAAATTGAAATATTCGTTTCTTTTTTTTTTTTCAGGATAATTATTATGAATATTTGAGTGCATGTCGTAAAAAGGATAGCAATATATTATATACAAATAATGGTACAAAATGTGACAAAGGTATTCAGGTTGCATTAGCACGATTCCGGAATGCTGTCAATGAGACAGGGTGAAAAAAAAAATGAAAATGATTAATTAAAATAATTAAAAAAAAGGAAAATATCAAATGTAATTTATTAGTCAAAAAAAAAGATGAGTTAGATCGATTAATTAGGTAAAAAAGTGATAAAGTAAGCATTTTGTTTTGAAAGTTAAAATTTTAATTTTAATTATTACTGAAGCTAAAAATGTTAGTTATTCTCTTTAAATAATATTCAAAATATGTGAAATTTAAGTAGAAAAAATGAGTTTAAAATGTTTTATTTTATTCCAGCTGGGGTATTTTAGAAGTGGAAACATTTAATGGTATTGATGAAATAACTCAAGCATTTGCTGCTGGACTTCTTGAAGGTTAGTTTTATTTTTTTTTTTAAAAAAAAAGAAAGAAAAGAAATGACAGAAGAAAAAATAACGATAGATAAAAGATGATAAAAAAAAAAGAAATTTTAATATTTTAAAATTCAAAAAACTGTTGAAATTTTCAAATTAAATCCACTTTTTTTTTTTTTTTTTTTTAAATGAATTTTTATTTAGTTAATATAAAAACATATGTTTTTTTAAAGGAAAAAACAAAAAAAACAAAAATAGAATGTTTTAATCTTTTTTTTTTTCCTTGTCTTTATAAACTTAGTTAAACTTAGATTTAGCAAATATGATCTGAAAAGCAAAAGGTAAATAAATTTTAAAGGTATTTTAACACGACAATTGATAACATATCATTATCGTAATACATTGGAAAGAATGTGTAATGGTAAAGAAGAATATTGCAACAAACTTTTTGCTTATTTATCCAAAAATTTGAATTGGATTAAGCATACAGTGAAAAAGAAAACAGAAATAGACATTTACTGGAAACAGGTTAATTTAAGATTTTTTAATTTAATTAATTACTATCAAAATTTATTTTCATTTTATGATTTTCTTCCTTTCCTATGTATATAATTTATCAGGCTCTTTTTTCTTGGCCTACTTCTCGGGCTAATTTACATTAATTTTTAATGAAATATCATTTATATTGATCAGATAGTAGCACTAATTGCTTACACAATTTATTTTAATTATAATTTGCTCTTAAAATATAATGATAAAAAATCAGCCTTTATTCAAAATTTTCATTTCTTATTTTTTAATTGAGGAAGATTTAAAAGTTAGAAATTAGAAAAAAAAAAGAATCTATTAAATTGTACCACTGAAAATATATTACTATTTTATAGGTGAATTTAACATTTGCCCAGCTAACAGGAATAAATCATGGATATTTAAAAAAAACATCTACCATTTATAAGCCAATAATTTCATTTGAACTAACATCAATTTAGTAAGTTTCAATATTATATTAAAAATTATACTTATAAAAAATTACTTATGACTATGTAATGAATATATAAATGATAATAAATCGATGATAGCATTTTCAAAATATTTTTGTTCTTTGTTTTTTGTTGAATTTATAATAATTATCAATTTTAAAATATATGCACGATATTGTCGTCAATTTTCCATATGTTTTTCTTTTTTTTCAAATTAAATTTTAATTTAAATATGAACACCAAAATTGTGAATGTTTTCTCTTAAATATTCTAAAAAAAAAAAGAAATTTTTTTTGACTTTTAACAATTGAAGGAAAGAAATAAATATTTTTACTAGAATTTTTTAAAAATTTATGATTTTGTTTGTTTTTAATTGCTGAAAATTTTTGTAGTATGATACAGCTTGCTGGTGATTTTATTGATTTGAGAAAAATATTTGGCAAAAATAAATCTGATGCAAGTCATTGTTCGGGTTTGATAAAATTAGCACCGGATAATGCTGACTTATTTATTGCTCATGTTACCATGTCCGGTTATGAAATGATGAATCGAATTCTTAAATTTTACAAATTTGCATTTGGTAACTTTTTTTTTTTTGCACAAAATATTTTAATTTTAATTATTAGTGTAATTTTTTCCTTTCTTTTTTTTTTTTTCTTTTTTTAGTATTTAAGTTTGTTACTAATAGAATATGCAATGTATTATAAAAAAATACATAGTGTTAACTCATAATATAGCTTTTTGTGAAATCAGAAAATCTTTAATTAATTAATTAATCATTTAATTAAACAAAAAGTCAAATAATTCTACTGGTATAAGTATTATTTATTATAGAGAAAGAAAAAATACCTGGTTATGCTACATCTTTTTCATCATATCCTGGTTCGCTAACTTCATTAGATGATTTTATTCTTGCAACCTCTGGATTGGTAATTTTTATGCTCATTTCATTTATTTATTATTTGTTTAAATTTATTTTATTATTGCTAGAGAAATAATCGAAATTATTGATTTAGGAAAAAGAAAACTTTAGTATAATAATGACGAGTTGATTATTCTGGATTATTACATGTATATAATAGCATTAAAAAAAAAGCAATGTGTTATGTATGATAAAATAAAGTTTGTTCATAAATTTTGAAACTTAATTAATTAATTACTTCTCAATTTTGTTTTATTTAATAATTAGGCAATAATTGAGACGACAATTAATATATTCAATCGATCATTGTATAATGCTATCAAACCTAATGGACAGTTACATTGTTGGATTCGTAGTATTATTGCTACAAAACTTGCAAAGTTTGTTATTAATGCTATTATCCTTTCTTTTTTTCTTTTTTTTTTTCTTTCATTTACCTAATTTCACATTCTTATTTTAGTTTTATCATAATTATCCATATCAAAAATATTAATTTATTTTAAATTATTTTAATATTAAATTGAAATTATTTAACATAAATTTAATATTCGTTATAGTTTAAAGATTGAGAAAACTGTGATTAAACATTTATTATGAATAATTCTTAGTTTGTTTTTTTTTTTTTAAATTAATTCAAAAATTAATATTTATTTATTTACTTTTTTTTTTGCATTATTTTAGTACCGCAAAACAATGGATGCAAATATTTGCACGATATAACTCAGGCACTTACAATAATCAATGGAGTATAGTTGATTATAAATTATTCAAACCAAACGAAGAAATTCCAACAAATAATCTTTTATGGGTTTTAGAGCAAGCACCGTATGCATTGTTTCAAAAATTTTAATTTAAAAAAAAAATTGTTTAATTTTATTCTCTCTCATTTCTTTTAAAAATTAATTTTGTAAAAAACAAACATTTACTAACAATAATCTTTATGAATAATATTTATTATAATTTTCCTAATAATAATTTCTCATAACTTCTATATTTTTATTTACTTTATATTCATTTTATTTGTTTTTTTTTTTTTTTTTTTGTCAAAAATTTCTAACTTTTTAATTTATGATTTATATTTTATTTAATTTGTTTGATTTAAATCATATATCACATATAACTTCAAAGCATATAAATCAAATCATATATTTTCCTCTAATTAATAATTGGTGGTTGAAAGAGTTAGAAAATTTTAGAAAGTAATTTTTTCCAAATTTTTGAAATATTTTATGATATATATATATTCAATTTTATCATTTTTTAATAACAGATAATTCAACATTTTAAACCTAATAATAATATTAATAATATATTTTTTTTTCGTTTAAATTTCAACATTAGCCTTTTTTTTTCTTTATTTTTTCGTCAAGAATTTATAATTAAGATATACAATTTTGAAAAAAAAAAAAGAATTTTTTTTAATTATGAAAAAATTCCTTCTTCAACATGTTTTCACTTATTGATTTGATAATTAATTCTTTTTTTTTGAAAGTATTTAATCAAAAAAAAGAATATATATATTTTAGTGGACTAGTGATTGCTCATGATATGACATGGTTTCTAAAGAATTACACATATTGGCCAAGTTATAATATTCCATATTTTAATACAATCAGTGAAATAAGTGGTTTCAAGCAAAAAGGACAATTATTTGATTGGTATAAATGGGAAAGCTCACCACGTGCTAAAATTTTTAATCGTGATCATCATAAAGTTATCAATTTGAATAGTTTGCAAAAATTAATGAGGTATTAAAAAGTGAAAAAGAAAAATTGTCTTTTTTTTTTCTCTTTTTTTCGAAATTTCTCAAAAAAAGAAATCAAAATTTTTTGTTATGCAAAATAATTAAAAATTAAAAAAAGAAAAATTTTTAATTTTATTTTTTGAATTTAAAAGAAATAAAAACACTTTTTTTTTTTTTTTTCATTTCAGATACAATGATTATAAGCGTGAAAAATTTAGCAAATGTAAATGTATTCCACCATATTCAGCACAAGCAAGCATATCAACACGTGGTGATTTAAATCCTTCGAATGGTACATATGAAATTAGTGAAATGGGCCATCGAAATTCAGGCAGTATTGATTATAAGGTAGTTTTAGTTTAATTATAATTTAAATAATTTTATTCATCTATATTTTATCATATAAAATTTAAATTAATAAAATGACTCGTCCAAATTCAGGTAGTATTGATTATAAAATAATTTTATTTTAATTGTAATTTAAATAATTTTATCCGTCTATATTTTATCTTATAAAATTTGTGAATTGGGCCATCGAAATTCAGGCAGTATTGATTATAAGGTAGTTTTAGTTTAATTATAATTCAAATAATTTTATCCATCTATATTTTATCTTATATAAAATTTACATCCAATTCACTAAGAATAAATTCTATATCTAACTTTATACAGAATATTAAGAATTATATGAAATTATTTGCTATATTTTTTGTAAAGAAGCGATTATTATTATTGTCTTTTTTTTTTACTGCTTATAATTCACTTATTCTAGGTGTTTTGACAAATTTAAAATTTAATTAATAATAGTTATTGAGGGAATTTTTAAATGAAATGAAATAATTTTCAGGGAACAAACTATCAATTATTCAAGAATCTTCGATTTAAAGCCTGGAGTGGACCAACTTATGATCCACTTCCTGTCTTCAGGTAATATTATAAGAAAAAGTATTTATAATTTATGTAATAATTACTTCGTTTCAATTTTCATTATTAATTATATTTGTTATTTTGCAATAAAATTTATTCAATAAAAATTAGCAAAAATTTCCAGCTGGGCTACAACAGATATACAAGTAAACCATTATGGTCAACCAACGATATGGCAATTCAAGGAAATAGAAACAGAATGGGAAACTGTCTTATCGTAATGTTATACTTAAATTATTGAATTGAATATAAACTTTTATTTTCCTAAATCTAAAACAAAAGAAAAAAGTTATTTAAAGCGAGAAAAGGAAGACCAATCTTTCTTGTTAATTTTCTTATATTTATTTCCTAGAAAAGAAAATTCAAAATTTTCTTTAGTAAATTTTTAGGAAATGAAGAAAAAGAAGAACTGATAATTTAATGAGCAAAGAATTAGAATAATTAGCTTCCTTTCTATTTTCATTTTTTCAATTATTGTTAATTGATGACAGTGCTGGTGACAATTTTTTTTTTTTTTAACAATGAAACTTTTCCCTGTTTTTTTCTTTGGTAGCACATAATAAATTACTATTAGTATATTTATAACAAATTAATAAGTTAATTAAAATAAACATAAATAATAATATGATATTTCTTTAACATTTAATTGGCTTTTTTATTTAGCTTTTTTTTTTCCCAAACTGATATGTATCAGAAAATATCACAGAAGAAGCAATGATACAAAATGAAAAAAAGTGGTAAAATAAACTGTGTCATTAAAATTAAAATCCTTTGAAATGAATTGTAAGTGCTATCAGGTAAATTCAACAGGTTACGGAATTATTTTTTTAATAATTGATTGTAACAAAAACTACTCATATATACTTTATACTTAACTAACAGCATAAACCCAAATTATAAATTTAATTCCTTTTATGAATACTATTATTTATTTTGAATTAAACTCTTATTGTGAATGGAAACTTCTTACTATCACTTCTTTTTTTTTTTCCATTTTTTTTTTCTTTTCACTGTTAGTGAATTTCTTAATTTTAAACAATAAGATGCAAGATCAAGTATAAAATATAATGGTATTCACATTTTTTGAGTTAAAAATTTCTTTTAAGAATTTCATATTTCCTGTAAAGATGAATTCTCATAAATATGAAACTCTTAAAAAGTAAAAAATAAATAAGTGTAGTTCTCAGTTCTGGTTTACACTTAATTATTATAACGAATATAAAGCTAAGGTAAATTACGAGATCTTAATATCATCAAAATGATATAAAATACACATACACACATACATAGAAACAAAAATCGAGAAAATCGCGAATGACAAAATTGTGTCAGATCAGAAGTTACCAATCAATCAGTAATCAACAGCTATCAACGACCAGAATGATCCAAATTGTTTCCAATAAAATCATCGAGACAATCTTTCTTTTTTTTTTTTCTCTCTCTCCCTCTCTCTCTCACATTCCTCTAAAGAAAGGATTTAGATTATTGCTGTGGCACATTTTCAGAATACTCTCTTTAATTATTTACTCTTCCAAATTCTTTTCGTCTACAATCACTGCAGTGTGTTTAGTTTTAATCAGTACTATCTGTATCGGTTTTTCTTCTTCAATTCAAAGTATTCCCAAACCCGAAATGTTAACTTTTTTCGGTAAGAAAAAGTTGGAGCAGCAAACTTAAGGTTGTATTTTTTTTTCTTTTAAATAAAAAGGGTATATTATATTTGTATACAGTAAATTTACAGTTTAGCTAACATAAGAGATTAGTGAAGGCATTAAAAATCGACAGATTGCAAATAGTAACGAATTTACAAATTTACACAAATTATAGATGAACTTAAATTTTAACAACGATCATTCCTAAATTTCTCTCTTTTTTGATCTTTTCCTTCATCCAACCATATTTTAGGAAATCAATTTCAGCTAATAAATTAATAATCATTTTAAAATCATCTTCTTCTACTTGTAGGCGTTCTCGTAATTCATTTGGATCGGTATATTTGGCCAAATACACAATTGAGCATAAATCTGTTAACTGTGCCATAACATACTGAATCAGCGCATAATCAGTAGGAAATGAGTCACTTCGTTTAGATGATAAAAAGTTTAGTAGTTTACCTAAAAATGTTAATAAGAAGCGGCGAATTAAGCTTTACAATAGCTTAAATAATTACAATGAAGAGAATTGAATGAAAACGATAAAATATATCAACTTACAGAAAATATTTTCCATAAAAATATACCTCTATAATTCCTACACTTAAGCCATCGGCCTTCAACGTCGTATACACATAGCATTGCATCTTTTGAATCGTTTACGGTTGTCTTGCGTGGAACACTTTCACCAAACAATTGACAATTTTCAGGGCTATAAATTTATTTTTGCAAAAAAGTGAATTGAACTATTAGTGTTTCTTTTTTTTTCTTTTTGTTCAATAAATTTAATGAGAAGTCGCAATCATATGGTCAGAATTTTTTATATGATTCGAAAGATTTTCAACATTTGATAGATTGGTTATGCTTCAATAAAAATCAAGATTACAATAGTCAAATCCTACCCTTTATGTCCTGTATTCCATGATGCATTTTGCCTCTGCATAGAAACCCGTAGTAAATTCAATTTTTTAAGTAAGTCTTTACCCAAACTCTTCCTTTCCTCTATTGACCAAAGCGCTAATTTTTCACCGCTTAGGAGAGCAAATAAAATCTGCAAAAAAAAAAAAAAAAAATGATGAGAACAAAAAGTTCACCTTGAATTTTTCGAAAAAAAAAAAATTCTGGCGCAGAAAAGTATCACTTTCTTATCACACCATAATTTAAGTTTACCAGTATCAAAAATTAATTTAAGATACTAAATTCATTATTATCATTCTATCCACTAGCAGATTTTTATTTTTACTCCGTAATTTATTAGCACTAAAAGTCTAATTCATTGAACCATCCCAAAAAGAACTCAAGAAGTAATATACACTATATCTCTCAAACTGTCCTAATTTTTTATAAAAAGTCTTACCTTATCCAAACCTTCTACAACAGTAGTCAGATTCCTTGTGTAGTCATTCTCATTCAGAACGTTCCTAAAGTAATATCAATTAAGAAATGTGATCAAATAACCATAGAAAAATATTATTCTTGAAATATCACTCATGAATTAATTATATTTATATTTAGAACAAACTAACATAGTTGCAACATTGTTGCTGTCGTTATATAAATTATGATTGTTACGATCTTTCAATTTTAACACTGGCATTTCAGCGCAAAACAATGTTCCCGTATCATATGACTGGGTAGTTTTGGTAAGTTTTTCATATATTTTTGGAAGAGTCTTAATAAATCCATCATATGTCTGAAATTCCACAAAAATTTGCTTCATAATTTAGCGAATACAATATAAGTCTATCTAACTCCTATATTTTAAATATAATTCGAATATTAATTCAATCTTTTATCCAATATTGATTTCTTTTCTACAACTATTGAGCATATTAAAAATATATATCAGTCGTTTTTTTTTCTTCCTCCCAACCTCACTTTTTTTCATTTCTCAAATTGTTCAGGCTGCTTCTCGAAAGTCGATAAGATCAATATGTTTAACAGAAATGTTTCATACCACTTCTTTTATCAGATAACACTTTGTTAGACAAGTTATAGCTGATATTTTTTGAATAGAACTTCAAAATTTTGCTAAATAAAAAAACTGACACATGGTGTTAGAAATTTCATTTCCTGCAGCGATGCTGGAGGATCCATAATTAATTGCTCCAAAATCTTAATATCATTATTCACTGAGTCATGTCCATTACAGTACACAGAGTTACATAAAACCTTCTGCACGGCATGATTTTCAAACCGTTGCAACATACATTTTGCCTGTAAAAATGAAAGATAAAAACAAAAAAAAAAAAAAAAAAAAATCGAAGTGGGATGAAAAAGTATTAACATGTTTAATGGAATTTAGTTTAGACATTTTATACTTCATCTTTAGTACAGATAGACAAAGATCAAATTCGTTAATCTCTACCCAAAAAAAAAAAATCTAACTAATATGTTTCAAATGAAATAAATAAGACAAAAAAAGTAGTTCAAGCAAAACGAAAAGTAGAAAGGATGTATTTTATACTAAAAAATTTGTAGATAAAAAACTCAGTTTCTGATGAGATAATATCGGAATAATTTTACACCTGTTATGTTATTTTTTTCTATAACCATTTTCAAGAAAAAGATAAAGCTGCGGTGAAGATAAGAATGAGAATTATAGAAAATATAATTTGATTATAAATCTATTCATTTCACACCAAACACAAATAAGCAATATTTTATATCATTTCTTATATTTCAAGATAGAAAATTTTGCTAGCGCTTATACGGATGTAGCTTAAAATGAAATAAATATACCTGATCAGATACTGATTGGACTTTAGCCTTAGCATATTTTGACAGTGATGAAAGGAAATTTTTCTCAGCTGGCGTTTTAATTTCCATTGTTTTAGTTAGATTAACTAATCGAACAAGGTGTGACCTTCAAAATTAACTAGTGCATTATTTTTTCAACAAGGTTTTTGTTCTTTTCACACTGAAATACGCTAAAACGACTGGATTCTAAAATCAAAATTTATTATATAATTGAAATCAACATTTTACATTTCAAAGTTTTTCAGGTTTTCACTGAATGATCATCTAAAACAACGAGGAAAAGAAAACGAACTTAAATAAAGTCTGATTGCAAACAAGTAATGGTAAAAACAAGTGTCGACTTGTCTCAATGAATTCCTTAAATATTGCCACTGTCGGTTTTACAGGTGTTAATAGCGCTAACGATATTGGTCGCTAAAATTAACCGCAAGATATATTTTTTAAATTGAATAATTCAATTTAAAAAATGACTTTTATGACTTTTACAATACAGTGAAATATTTATACTTTTGACTAGAAGAAAAGTATGAAATTTATATGTTGATAAATTTACAAAACTTTTACATACGATATTTCTTTATCCCTTCCTAATTGAAAGACATTAACTGAAAATCTAAAATGATATTACTGAAACTTTTACCACCTCATTTCTTCTTCACAGGACAAATTTTATTCATAAAACTTTATAACTATTAGAATTAATTATGCAACCTGAAATGCACGAGCGTGCAAATCGAGTAAAGTTGAATAATGAACGCATGCGTAAACAGCCATTTGTTGATTGTAAACTATCATACTAGAACCATTAA